ACAGACGTAGACACAAACACACACACTTCTCTGATCGCACCTTGTCAATCGCACCCACACAATTGGATTCAGCATGAATCACACACCATTATAAACTTTTTGTTAGTGTGTCTCACAACAATCGAACTTATTTAAAACATGACGCTGATCGATATGCATGCACACACAAAAACTCATTTCTGATACCCAGAGCAGGGCAAATCAGCGCAAGAGCGCAATCAGTAAATTGACTTAGTAAATTCTCCTCTTTCGTCTGAAAGGGAAAGTTCAGCCGCAAAAATAACCCCGTCCACGCTTATTTTACAGGTTTAATCTATCTGGTTACTCCAGCAAAAGTCATTCTTATGGGTTAGAGAGAGCAGAAGTAAATCCTTAGATGCTTACCACTTTTTCATTTCAGTTAGTATGCTGCCTAAGAAGGGAGCTAGGTAGTGGCAGCAAACTAGGGTTTGGATCAGAGCTCCAGTCTCATATTTCAATGCACTCACTGTGATTAAATCAAGAAATGATATGCCATAGTTTCTCAGGGAGCATGAAATAAGGCTTTCCCGTTAAACACTGCATGGCTCTTTCTCTTTAGCTATGAACAGATGGATGTCAAATCCCCTGCCATTACCAAAGGAAGGGCGATACATTACTTCGGACAGTTAGATCAATAAAGCATCTCGCTACTACAGCTGCAAGGTTTCCTAGCAACAACCGGGAAGAGCTCTTTGATCTGATCCGAACATTCCAAAAGGTTTTTGAAATATTTCCAGTAGATATCAGAACATCTAATTAATGTCAATGCATTCACAAATGTCTAAATTTGATGGATCAGTGGTCGGATTGCTGTACATCGCTTTCGACAGTTCATTTATTTATGCAGCGCTGACTATTGATCGCTGCAGGCAAAGAAACCAATTGCAACGATTAATTGTCGGAAGTTAATAAATTATAGGTTCTGTGTTAGCTTCAGGGTTTGGTTGATACATCGTTGTGGTAAACAACTTAAATGGGTTCAAGCTAAGACATATAGCTTCTGTACCCTGCATATTCCTGCAGATTATGTTGTTTTAAATCATATCTTCCCTGGATTTATTTGTTTTATTCAGCATCTAGGCTGGGAATTGAGCACCACACAGTACGTGTAATAGCTTTTACTATATATTCCGACCCAGACTGCTGTGGCAACAGCACTATTAAATTCATGATATGTGTGCATACGTATCTTTGAGATGATCTAATGTTCCACTGTGAGTATGTGTGCTTGTGCATTGACTCTAAATCTTCACAGCTCCTGTGTCAGCATAACCTTTGATTAAACTATATTTTTTTTACGACCTGTCATGTGATCACATTTTCTTTCTGTCTGTGTGTGCGAGACGTTGAAACCTCATCCAAACCGACCCTTGGGCTTATAGTTTGACGCACACCCACACATAGACGCGCTCGGGAGAGAGAGACGCTTACTGTAGACAGATTTGTGAGTATTTTCAGGGCGATGTGTAGCTGTTGGTTCTAGTGTATCGAAGAGGCAATAAAACATTTAAAGGATGCTGAGGACAAACAACCTCGCCTTAATGCAAAGTTGTGTGTTTGCACCCGTGTTTTAATAGGAATTCGGACAGCTCTAGACTTAGGCAATCGATTGCACTGGATTTCTGCTCTTGCTTTAATTTCCTTTGGCAGATAGAGAGAGTTTCATCAACATCAAAAGAATGCCGATCCGTTTGGAACATAAAACGCTTAAAAATAATTGAAACGAGCCATTGTGTCTCCAATAGTGATTTGCAAAGCAGTTTTGAATTTGCAAAATAATGCAGTCCTTGGAGAATGAGGACTGTTTTTATTCCCCTCTGATTCTCATTGTTAAGGCTTTTATGCTTACTTGAGTAGTTGCTAGTTGATTACATCATCAGTCTCGCTATGTACCCTCCTTTAGTCTGCTGTAACAAAGCGGATTTGGAGCGAAGGGTCAGATAAAGGGAAGTGTCCAAGATGCACGCATGAATAACCAAATTCATGATGAACTGCAGCATTTATTGACACCAGGTTAATAAGTGACAGGGAAAGTGTTGAAATGGAAATGTTTCAGAAAGGAACACAGTGTTATTCACCTATATCTTAAAGGGTTAGTTCACCCAAAAATGAAAATTAAGTCATTAATTACTCACCCCCATGCTGTACCAACCCCGTAAGACCTTCGTTCGTCTTCGGAGCACAAATGAAGATATTTTTGATTAAATTTGAGAGCTGTATAACTACCACATAGACTGCCTAAGGGACTGGCTCTTGACGGCCCAGAAAGTCAATGAAGAAAATGTTTAAATATTCCATGTGACTACAGTGGCTCAACTATATGTTTATCAAGCGACGAGAATACTTTTTGTGCGAAAAAACAAACAAAAATAACGACTTTATTCGACTATTCCTTTTCTTCCTTGTTGGCCTGAAACGAGACTTCCATACGATTTCCACGACGCATGCGCGAGAACTGAACTGAAGTAGTTGAAGGAGATCGCAATTCTCGCGCATGCGTCGTGGAAATCGTATGGAAGTCTCGTTTTTTAATAATTATTAATAAACGTTTAAATTACTCAGTGTAAGTTCGCACATTTTCCTACCAACTTTGTATTGTTAAAATGTCAGTAGTATTTGTAATGTAGTATACTTGTCTTAGTGTTAGACAGAGAAATTCCTGTTTATTAGTCACCAAAAGTCCACCCGATGACCCAAAACGCGACATATAGTTCAAAAGAACAGCATTCATTTGAAATAGAAATTAATTTCACCCTAAAACTTCTTACTGACACCAAGCTTTTGAATGTAGAGTAGATTTGGAGGAGGACCAGTGAAAGCCAATACAGATGGTTCCCTTTTTCCATTATACGCCTCTCGTCTGAGCTTGGTGTTTAAACATGATTTCATTATTTTTTTAGATGCATTGTGTGATTAACATTCATTGAGGCCATGTTAATCGTAACTCAATCCTGTCCTCTTTAAACCAGCTCTCATTGTCTGCCTATTTCTCTCTCTCCAGTTTAGACAGTAATAAGTGGATGCTATGTATGTAATTTGTGAAGAGTTCCCTAGAGAACGCAGCGGCACAGAAGCTCCTCCAGTGAGGTTGTGTGTTTGTGTGCACATGAGTCATTGACTGACAATCACCGCTGCTCTGTTCCCTCCCGTATGAGCACTTGTCGATGCATATTGACATATAGTTTTCTCAGCTGTGGACTAGCTCACACACACAAATAGCATTAGGAAACTCCAATGCATTATTTTCACGCAAATCACAGAGGCGGCGGAGCCTTGCTGACAAAATTCCAGTCATTTGGCACAAGGGGGAAAAAAGACTCGCGGGCCGCTGCCCTCGCTTTGGAAGCACAAATTGAAGCACATTTACAAACACGATCTCTCCCTGGAACTCATTTTTCTTCTTGCTTGTTTGCTGCCCTCTCCCTCACATAGACGTTACATCACAAGCGCAGCTGGGGCTCCAATCTGCAGCTGCACTTGTGGAAACAGAAATGATATGCCCGGTGTTTTAAATGTGTGTGTGTTTGCTTGTGGTCTTGCCGGTTTAGCTGAATCTAGTTTGATTACGATACCGCGAGTCTGTCGCAACATGCCTGCTATGCGCACACACACTAAAAAGCACACGCTTGATTACATCTGACAGGTAGAGGCTCGAACATATCATCGTAAATCTACCACGCGTCACTCTCTCACCTGTGGCCTGAAATTAATGTCATTTATGGAGTGCATGTGTGTGTGTGGATGTGTGGGTGTTGCTGCAGTGGCAATGCTTCATTCACATTTTCTCTTCAGTGTTCATTCATCACGATTTTGTCTCCTGCTACGTGCCATGCTCCCCGTCGTCGCACCCCTCCCTTCCTCCCGGGCTTCCTGTCTCCATCTCTCTCTTTCCATTTTCATTAAAGATAAGATGTGTCATTTTCATGACCGGTTCATTAATGTTGCTTTGCATAGGCACTGCATCACAATTACTATTGCGTTAGGAGTTTGAGTACACTCATAATTAGTGGTTGATGCGAATATTTAGAGAACAAGGTGCGGGTGATTGACTTTATAATGCAGTTGACTTCCATAGTATCCGTTACACTCACACCCCAAACCTCACTCCCATCCGGGTCACGGCACCAAATGCAACCAGTCCTATTCGACACACTCCGAGCAGGATACGCAATGGTATCTCCGGCATGGAAGGTGGGCACGCTAACAAGGATGCTAAAGAGTCGGCCGCTAGAGACTAGAAGAGTGAGTTTTACAATCACAGCACTTACTTTAAATGAACATATTTTATTCAATATTTAATCTAAATTCACTTAACTTGATGCTGGTAATCAAATATCGACCACTATTGGCAAGAATCAAACTAAGCCTGACCAGAACCATATAGAGACAAGAATATCATAAAGACTTCAAGATTTTTAACTGCCTAGCAACCACCTGGAACAGCCTACCAACACCCTAGCAACCACCTTTGCATTGTTTCCAAATGTTCACCCATTGATTTAATTAACAGTATAATTCTACCATATGGTGTACTTATCCTTTTTTGTCTCTGTTAATTGCTCTCTTTTGCCTTGTTCTACCTCTTTCCTGTCTGTGTGACTGGCAGTACAGTGGTGTCTGTTGCCGGGGAGCTTAGAGGAATTCTTTTTGGCTCCGGTGTTGCATGCTTGTTTGTTACCAATCCAGCCTGTATTCATCGTATGATTCATGTTCATGTTGCATCGAACAGAGCGGAGAAAATATGATAGAGTTAATCAGGGAAAAATTAAGTCTGCAGGATGTGTGTATGTGGTGGTGGCAACCACCGCCACCATCCGGAATATATTGGGTTTAAAAAAAAATTAGCATTTTTAAAAACCATAACGATTTTTGACTATATTAATTACTTCTGTTCTACTACTGTAGAAAACAAGTAACCCCGTCTATATTTCCCAGCTCTGCAATCATAAATAAAGCCGTCTCTCTCTCCTCTTTTAAAGGGGTGCGTTCTCAGAGGTGGTCCTGGCGGAGGAGAGGTCCACGGGAAAGATGTTCGCTGTGAAGTGCATCCCTAAAAAAGCGCTTAAGGGGAAGGAGAACAGCATCGAAAATGAGATTGCTGTTCTACGCAAGTAAGTTCCATTTCCCGTACCACACCTGTACCCATGGCAACAGCATCACCTCTCTCCTCCACACTCATTCCCTCTTTGCCAGTTGATAGGAGCTTGTTTGCCTGAGGTTTGACCTCCAGTTACCGTGGTAACTCCTGTGCCCTCGTCCAATTACAGCAGGGAAGCTCCCGCATATGTTCTCTCTTTCTCTCTTTCTCCATGAAACGGCACGCGTGCGGACCATGTCCGAGTGTAGACAGATTCTTTGACTGTGCTTGGAACGGAAATATGATCCCCTTTAGTTTTTAAATATGCAGTGGTAAATTAATGAGCTCTATCCAGAAATTTAATTTATTATGTAAAACAAATGAACAAATTTGATGTAAAGTTGTGGCAGTTCAATCAAACACTACCAATCAAATGTTTGGGCTCAGTACGATTTTATTTAGTTAAGTTTTTTTTTTTTTGATCAAAGGTGCTTTAAATTGATCAAAAAGTGACAGTAAAGATTTATAGTGTTACAAAAGATTTTTATTTGAAATAAATTAGGGATGCACGATATATCGGCCAGCATATCGGTATCGGCCGATATATGTTCATTTTTAATGTTATCGTTATCGGCCTGGAAGTAAAATGTGGCCAATATATTAAAGCCGATAAATAATGTATTATTCCCTTCAGCTGAGACACTTGTTGAGCACTGTTTATGTTTTTGAATTTCTTGAAATATGATTGAAATCTCTTCAAAAAATGAAAATATGGTTCGGTACAACATGTGCAGCGCAAATCTGTCATATCGGCTATACAACACTATAATGAGAACATCATTATAATCGTGCGCTTGGGACATAGATTTAATTGTGAGACTTTTGTTTTTGTAATCAGGCTCTCAAAATTAGGTAAAAATTTGGATTTAAATTTACCGTCTGATATATTGGTTATCGGCTTTCAAATATAAACAATTATCGGTTATCGGTATCGACCAAAATTTTCATATCGGTGTATTCCTAAAATAAAGGCTGTTCTTTTGAACGTTCTTGACTGTTTTTAACATTGGTAATAATGTTTCTCGTGCATCAAATCAGCATATTAGAATGATTTCTGAAGGATCATGTGACACTGATGACTGAAGTAGTGATGCTGAAATTAGTGTTAGGTGTCCTTACAATTAATACTCTGAGAGAAAGCACAACAAGAAAGCTTCTCAGCTTAACATGTTGTTTCGCAGGTATTTCCTCACTCTCGGTGCTAATGGAAGCAGGTGTGTTTGGTGTGTCTGACATATGGATGTGTGACGGGTGTGTTTCCCTCGAGACTCATCAGAAAAGGCCGCCTTTGATTCTGACATGGGCTTCTTCTGTTGTAACAGTGATCGTACCCTGGAGATTGGACACACAGCTTTGTCCTTCATCACGTCTCTCTCTGTCTCCCTCATCTCATATCATAGCCAATAAATGATTGACAGCTTGTCTGCCATCTCATGGGTGATGCCACAGGCCTGTAATTAGATCGAGCGAGCACACGCACCCACCAGCGAACGAGAGCATGTTTATTGTCTGTCTGTCTGCCTGCATATGTATGACAGAACGATATAGAGAAAGATCAGAAGATATTGCCTTCGCATCCACAAATGAGATAATGAGATGCCCTCACAGGTTATAGTTTAATCTTCACAATCCCCGCAGAGAATCGCAAACGTACACTCCCAGCATGCCGCCTGTCTGACTAATGCAATGTTTAAATACTTAAGTCAATTCAATTCATCCTGACATGGGACTTGCTAACCCAGAGGGAAAATTGTATTGCTCAAAGGCTGCTTTTTCATAGCTTGCAAGACATAATTGAGTTCCCAAAAGTTTCCAGTGATAAATGTTTCGGTCCCCACTGAAAGCGAACTGTCAATCAAGTAATATTTAAAGTTTGATAGAGAGTTATGTGGACCAATGAGAGTACGCTTCAGCATATTTTTAATAAGATATGTTAATAATATATGTTACAAGAGTATTCTTAAGTCTATGTCTTGGGGTCATGAACTGCTTTTAAAATTGTATTATATTGTTGTCTGAGGTCAACTTATGACGTTCGCTTGGTTTTTGCATTCAAAAACATCCAAATGAATAAGTAATAGGTTTTTCTACCTTAGTTTTGAGCCTAGCTGAAAAACGCTCGGTTTTTATGGGAGTCTAGCACTGAAGACTGAAGTAGTTTAATCAACTCAAATATCCCAGTTGTCACTCTCATTTCAAGGTGACTAAACTTATTTTTTTAAGCTAAAACAACATTATTTTTTTACAGTAAAAATTCCATTTGCTCTCCAGTGAATCTCAATGCTGTCTTGGAGTAGCAATTGAGAAATTAAAGACATCTCGTCTGTGATTTTTCTTTAATAAGAGACTCACTCCTCATCAGATAATGTGAATCGGCTATTACTTAAACGCACTGAGCAAGTAATCCAAAGATTTGCATAAAAGTGAGCGAGACTCAGCTTTCAGAGATAAATAGCTAGTCATTCTACCTTTTATTGTTAAATTATTTCTTTTTATTGGCACGTTTTTTTTTTTTTCAAATAATGGAATAGAGATTGTTTTTTGTTCCTCGTTCTGCTTTCACCCTATTCCTGAGTGCTTCTGCTTCTTGAATCAAAAGAGAAGATGGTTTCATAGGCAGCGAATGAGTCGTGCTACAGCTTCTGCCCACTCACTGCTGAAGAAGAGAGAGAGAGAAACAGACAGAGGGAAGAAGCGAATGCATGAAAGAGGGATATTAAACCCGTGAATGGCTTTATAATCCCCTGCCAGACGAGTTTTCCATAATCAGTTTTGAAAAATCAATATGTCAAAGGGCGAATCGACCTCCAGGTTTTGTTTAAGAAGAAAAACCGAGGCGTGTCGTGCATTGTTTATTCATTTTTTTTCCAGAGCTATCGTATTAAAATGCTGCATCAGAGGTGACTCCCAGTTCATTGAATCGTGAGTCGGTATGGAACCAGCATCTCAATGAATCACTCGCTCTTAGATTGAGATTCCATACCTCAGTAAATCTTTAATACATTAAACTACTTGGTGAGGTTCATTTTTGACAAAAACAAACGCCTGCAGTCTTTTATTCTCTTTCCTCAGAACATTTTCTTATTTATCTGAAAAGGTGAGTTGCAGTGAAAGAGACGATTGCCCCTTACCTATGAGGATCAATACCCTTACCCTTTCTGAACATATGGATGAACAAAGAGAGTTAATTATAGGAAACTAGGGGGGGAATGTTTTATCTGCACTTGCCGATGTCCATTATCTGCATGTGTGCGCGCGTGCATCTTGTTATTGTCTGCTCACTTGCGTCATTGCCCGTCCTGTTATCATGTGCCAGTTGGACTCGCTGATCAGAATTCACTTAAAATGCAACGCTAATGTGTATACACACCGCCGCCGTGACTGCGTTACCATGACGAGAGGAGAGAGAGAGAGATGTTAACTGCAGGGAAGGAGAGGAGAAGAAAAGCAAAACAAAAAATATTGCAAGTTGATATGACAGAGATGAAAAGCCGCTTTTAAAGCAGGCACCCTAACAGCATCCATCAAAGGACCACAATTACTCTAGTCTAGCTGGGGATCTAAATGCTTCATGAACTTTAGAAGCCATTTAATCTTTTGTTTGGCATATGAAAATATACTGTACGTCAAATATGTATATGTTGTATTCACCTTAAACTGAAATGCATGTAAAATATGTGTGTGCTGAATGTTAATTTCAGTGTCAAAAGGATTCACTCTAGTGTATGCAACTTCATGGAATAAAACATTGCGGTGTTTATTGTACGTTTTATGGGTTTATGGAAATGTGCGCCACTGAAGTATTCATATGCTTATGAGCAGATCCGGAGTGTTCCACTCTCTTAAATTCACTTCCTAAACAAACCCTGAAGCAAAGCAAAGCCAGATTGCAAAGACACACACACATAAATGATCCTAAAATGCATGTTTTTATGTTTTTCAAATTGCAATTAGAAAAAAAATTAATAATTCAATACAGATTGTCTCTCTTGCAGCAGAGCATGCCTCCATATATATATATAAAGAGAGAGAGAGAGAGTTACAATGGTAATACTCTATAAAGACATGATAAAGCATAACGTACAAGCATAAAAAAGAGATAAAGTTTTAGAATTTTTAGATTTTAATGTTGTATTTCCAATTATATTATTTTGAGAATTATCAGTGGAATTTCTGTCTCACATATTAGTACAACATTCTGTTGTATTACTTAGTAATAGTTTAATCATGTTAAATTGTCAAATTGTGCATTTCAATGACCTTCATGTGTTTTGTTTTGCAGAATCAAGCATGAAAACATAGTGGCACTGGAAGACATCTATGAAAGCTCCAATCACCTTTACCTTATAATGCAGCTGTGAGTATGTTCGACGCATACACAATTACCCACAATGCATTTTGCTCATGTCTTTCTGTTCATTCCTTGCACATTTTAAGGTACAAATACCCAAATATCCGCTTATATGTATGTATGGGGTGAATTAGTGGAAAGCAACCTGTCCGGGAATGTGTGCTCGCTCTGCGCTTTTACTTTCGCTCGGTTCAGCTGGGAAGATAGGGAGGTATGGGGGGCACAGTAACTCGTTTGGGGGGGGGGTCGACCCTAGGTTGGTAATTTTTTTTATGTTGCTTAATATTTTTTTAACTTTTTTGGATTCTTTGATAAAAAAAGGAATCTTGTCAGGGACTCTTTTGAAATAAATTGGTTCAGTGTAACAATGAAAAGCTTCCTCCGCCTGCAAAAACACAGTTGTGAAACACATCTTGCAAGAATAGTCATTATTTACTGATAATCTTCAACTCCGCTGTAAATCACAAATCAAATATGGCGTGTGGTCCAGTCATTTCAGAATTGAGGATTGAGTGAACCATGACTTTAACATATTACCACCCACATCATCATCTCCTAATCAGTATTCAGCAAGCGAGTGGGGGCGTCGTTAACTCATTTCACATGCGCAGAGGTTAGCTATTATAACAGAGGTCATTTACATATTGAAGTCTTAAAAGTACAGTAGCAAAAACAGCCTGTTTGATTCTAAGGGTCAGAGAGAGGGCGCAAAGTGGTCATGTGAAATTAAATCACAAATCTAGAAACCTTGACAGACATTTATAAGAGAAATATAAGTGCAAGAATATAAGCAGAAGATGCTCATCTTTATGTACTGATTTTTGCAGAGTTAGATGCGCTCCTGGGTCAACATACTGTGGAACAACATTCTTGTCCAAAAATGTAGTCCTAACCATACCTAACCCTACCCATATGTTATCCCTAAAATCAGAGGGAAATGATAACACTGATGTAGAAGCAACTAACCCTGTTTGTAAGCTTAAACGTGACAAACTCTAAACTTGTCCCTCAAATCTGATTGGTTGACTGAATGTTGATTGCACTTGGTGAAATCATGTTCTGCATGTAATCCTCATACATTCCTGCACTTTAAAATGGTGCATTTTTAGTTTTTACTCTTTGATTAAACAGCAGGAGACAGTTTGACCTCTTACACAAGTATTAAAGTGACTTCTGTACTGTCCTTCACTTCAGCTCACTTCAGCTTAAAGTTATAGCTCATGAATGCACAAAAATAAATCTGTATAGCGATAAGAAAATAAAAAAAATGTCATGGCGTTGTGGGCCACGACCCAGATCATGGTGAACTGGACGATCTGGCGAGAGAGAAGGAGAGAGGGTGGCAGTCTGGTGAGTTGGCTGAGGACTGTGGATGCTGACGTAGAAGCGTTGCGTAACGCTGATGATGGGTAGCAGCATGTCCAAGTCGTTCCAGCTCTGCAACCACACGCACCTTAATGCAAAGGGAGTGTGTTGCAGAAAAAGAACACACTCTTTTGTCCACTTTCAACCACTTCTGTCCTGATTTCTTTGAGGTGAGGGTCTACACTCTCAGAAAAAAGGTACAAAAGCTGTCACTGGGGCTGTACCTTTTCAAAAGGTAAACTTTTGTCCATTTTAGGTGCTAATATGTACATTTTATATGCTAATATATACATTCAGGTGCTAATATGTACATTTTATGTGCTAATATATACATTTCAGGTGCTAATATGTCCATTTTAGGTGCTAATATGTACATTTCAGGTGCTAATATGTACATTTTATGTGCTAATATATACATTTCAGGTGCTAATATGTACATTTTATGTGCTAATATATACATTTCAGGTGCTAATATGTACATTTTATGTGCTAATATATACATTTCAGGTGCTAATATGTCCATTTTAAGTGGTAATATGTACATTTTAGGTACTAAATAATACTAATATATACATTTTAGTGTTAATATGTACATTTTAGGTGCTAATATGTACATTTCAGGAGCTAATATGTACATTTTACGTGCTAATATGTACATTTTACGTGCTAATATGTACCACTAAGGTACCAATATGCAGCCTTTGGGTACAAAAGTGTACCTTTTGAAAAGGTACAGCCCCAGTGACAGCTTTTGTACCTTTTTTTCTGAGAGTGTATGGTTGGGTAAATGAATTAGCATTTTCAGATCTTTCAAACTAATGGACAAAATAAGTATGCGCAATTTACAAATAAACACGCCCGGAGATCACGGAAAAGCATATGGAGAGCATCAGCTTTGCATTTCTGCAAGACGACAACGAACGCTGTGAGTGTGTGTTAGAAATCAGGAATGGTTAGAGAACATGTTTGGAACGTTTTTCATCTTCAAACCAAACTTGGGTCCGATAAAAATCTGGCTAGTGCACTTCCCATAATCTTTACACATTAGGGCAGTATGCCAAGAGTAGGTGGCCTTTTGTGGCCGTTTGAACACATTTCACCGCAAAGCAATCCGGTCGAATGTGTTTTCCACTACCTCTGGAAGTAGTCGAAAGTTTACACCTGTATTTAGCGTCGCTTATTTGTGGTCAGATCGACCAAAACACATTTTAATAACAGCTGTAAACAGGGCCTTAGTTTTGAGGATTGGCTCCTGTAAATAACTGAACTGTGTGAACGTTACATATTTAAGGTCTCAAATACAGAACTGAGAACCGTATTCTGTTGCTGTGTGAATGTGGTGTGGCCTATTTATGTTTAGTGGTGAAATGGCTTTCACAACCAATTTTGCAATGTGACACACTCTACCATTCAAGTTTGGGGTTATTAAGAAAGAAATTAATACTTTTATTCAGCAAGGATGCTTTAAATTGATCAAAAGTGACTTACAAAAGTGATTATGTTACAAAACGATGTAATGAAAAATAACGTTACAAAAGTTTTCGATTTCAAATAACATTTTGAGTTTTGTTTTCAACATTGCTAATGTTAAATATTTCTTGAGCAAATCAGCATATTAGTCAAGTCACATTTATTTATATAGCGCTTTTTACAATACAGAGATAACTGGAAAAAATTGCAACAAAGTTTGTTTCCATAAGAAAATAGCGTCACAGTCCAGCTTAAATAAGTTTCATTTTTGTTGTAAAAAAGTTATTAATTTTTAAATTTATATATATAGACCAAAACTCTATCAGGAGACAGAATGGAGAAGAAAAACCTTGGGAAAACCCAGGCTCAGTCGGGGGCAGAGATGTATAAAGTACTAGAGTAAAAGTACTATCAAAAAAGTGACTTGAGTAGAAGTTGAAGTGCTCTTTAAGCAACACACTTAAGTAGAAGTACTAAAGTATTCAACATTTTTTGTACTTAAGTATTGCAAGTAGTTTATTTAAAAATTCACTACTTAAGTACTAAAAGTAAAAGTACAAGTATTGTGTCATGTAATTATTAAAGAAAGCAGTCAAAAGTTTGAGCTAGCAATCAAATAAGGCACTTTGGCAGGATACAAATGTGTCAATGTGTGTGTCAATGTGTGTGTCAATCAATACCATTACCCTATAAAACTGGCATGTGATTTAGGCAGCATGAAAGCCAACTTGCAACGAATGATTCGTAAAATTTTTATAATTGTAACGAGTAACTAGCAGAACATTAAAAAAATATTGAATTAAAAGTATTAAATTCATCGAAAATATCTACTGAAGTAAAAGTAGAAGTATGAGAAAAAAACAATACTCTAGTAGAGTACAGATACAGCATTTTAGTACTTAAGTACAGTACTATTTCGTTACTATACATCTCTGGTCGGGGGGGCAGTTCTCCTGTGGCCAATGAACGACGCTGCATTACAGTTTAGAAGTCAGATTAAAATCATTTATAATGATTTATAGAAGAATTTAGCTTTGCCATCACAGGATTTATTAATCAAAAATAATTGCAATATTAGAGGAATATTCTGGGAAGCTCAATGTGTTGATTACCACACAAAAATATATTCCAATTTCGTGTTTTAAAAGTGAGGTGAATAATTTTAACATTTGAGCTGTAAAATTATTTAAATCATGATTTTTATGTCCGTTTCATGGTGTAATGTAAGAAAAATAGGGAGTCCAAATTATTGTTCGTGGTAAACAACACTAAGCCTCAATTGCTGTCAATTGAGCTTAACTTTTATTGAAATAATCAATAAAATAACCCGAAACAGAGATGTCATTCATGATTTTGTTATGGATTGTGTATCCGAAAACTGTTTGAATGCTTGCATCTATATTTACATCCACATGTGTAGATAATAAAAGAGAGTGCACGATCTACTTTATCGGTCGGGAATTGACTTAATGGTGTAAAGTGGTCTCTATGACAGGTGGTATAGGAGGCGAGAGGTTGCTGACATCAGTCGGTTTAGGGAGAACGTTTATTACATTTTCATGAGAGATTACGAAGCATAAAGAGGGTCAATACTGATTTGATTTCATTTCAACTTTGATGATGTGGAGAGGAGAGGGAAGTTAGGAGGATTAGAGGAAACAAACATTTATTTTCCGTCCTCATTTCACCCCCTGGAAACCGCATTAGAATTTGAATTCCTCAGTTTTAATTTGATAGTTGGCCCGGAGCCTGCCCCTCTTTTCCCTGTTAATAGGTTGCGCCAAGTGTGTGTGTGTCAGAGAGAAACATGAAGAACGTTTTGGCATATGGTGTTGAGATGAATATTTAAACAGTACCAATCTGCTTTTTGTCTGATCTCACAGATGCAGTTTAGAAAATCTTTCCATAATTCACTCTGCATGTAAGTGTGATTAAAGATCAGATATGGACTGTTTTCTTCATGCATGTTGGACGCACCGTATGGCACAATTTTACGACAGTGGAAAGAGAGAAGTGAGGACAGAGAGAAAGGGACACACTAAGGGCATCTGCACACTGCGTCAGAGAGTGTTGTAAATTGATTACAATGGAGATGGTGCATCACAAAAACGTAGAGCAGGAGTGTTCAGGCCAGTTTCCTTCCCTGCAAAGATCCATATAATCAGAACTTGCTACAGAGATGCGCCTCCCCTTTTAAAACACATTAAAATAGATTCCCTTAAAATAGTTACCTGTGTCACCTACGCATCCCAGCATAAACACTCCCGATAAATTATTTGTTATTAAAGCGTCTATTCACAAACCTATGTTAATTTCAACAAATAAACAAGCACTGCACACAAGACTTGGCATGGCAGAAAGCGTGCAAAATGCCGTCCCTTTATAAAGCTGTCACTCATTTTATTTCATTGCCATCTCACAAAGTTAGGTTATAATCAATGAAGCTGACTGCTCAATCAATCTCTTATAATGTCTACACTTTGTTTGTTATAATGTGAGGATTTACCTTGGCCAGCCTTACACACACGTGCATTGGAGGAAAATGTATTGTAAATTTCCAGGTTTGGCTTTTTATATTTCATTTGGCTCAATTTACCCCAGGTTTGGGGTAAGTTAATCTGAGTCAATGGGCAAGTTGCATCTATCTGACTCTGAATCAAACGCATGTGAAATTTTAAAGATAATTTACCAAATTTCCTTTTACAGACAGTCATATTTATTTTCTTAAAGCTGACTTAAACAACATAAAACCAAACAAATTAAAGAGGCTACATGTGCACCTGTGGCCAAAAAACAGAACTGCTCTTCCTTTCTGCTCGCTCTCGAAACGCACGCTTTTACGTGCACACTTCACTAGTCATCTGCTGCAAGAAGGTCAGAACATTGTTTGAGATAAAGCTTGCGAGTGAAGGCTACTTGCTGACTAGCGGTGGTGGCAGAGTGATCTGAAACGTTTAACATGAACGCGCTTGACGTCATATCCGCAGACAGCGCGGGAAAAGTCCGACCCGACAGAAAATAGGAAAAATAGGATACAGGCTTATAGGTGCACCCACTGTGAGCGGACAGGGTGTCAGTATGCTCATCAGGAGATGTTTTAGTCATAAATGGTAAAATAAAAAAGGTATTATTACATTTATTTTGGGGAAAAAGCTGCATATAGCCTCTTTAAGTTGAAATTTCAATATCTTTAATTGTGTGCATTTCTAAAAAAATATGTTGACCACCATATATGTAGCCGTCCCAAACAGACTAAACAGCATTTGTTGAGCAAAATTAGATTAACTGAATTAGAATGAATGAATAAATGACACTGAAAGGTTCTTTGCATGGTAGTTTTTCTGCAACGTACAACATGTTAGCCCATTCGGGACATGATTAAGCATCTTCTGGTTCTTATCAGAAAACGATTTGGTTTACTTGTGCATTGTTCCTATCAAATAAACTAAAACTAAACAACTAAACAATATATTTTTTAAATGATAATCTAAACCAGTTGTATAATATTGCATTGAAATTCTATCAGTTTGTACTTTGGAGATTTAACTTAACTACAGTGCCTTATGGTGGGGTAAGTTAAACGCTGGCTCAATTTACCCCACAGCATTCGGCTCACTTTGACCCATAGCTGAGATTTTGGACAAAACTAGCTAGCTTACTAATTTAGGCTCAAATGATTTGCATGGTTTTATGCGTTGCTAAATCACCAATATGGATCATAAATATTTTTAGACCTGGACAAATCTGCTCTGATGTAACAGCCATGACATCTGTTATGCTAAAATTTTAAGTAGACAAGCCAAAAACAAGTTTTTTTTAAAGTAAATGGGTGCCTTCCATTTGTCTTCTCCTTTTCACAGTCTGGCAGAAATGATGGTCACGTGACAATAAAAGTGTATGGTTGCCAAGATAACCCCACTCTCCCCCTATATATTTTTTTTATTATTAGTTGCACAGTGTTATTAGTAGACCTGCTGCTAAGCACCCTAAGGGTGGAAAGAAAGAGTTGGAGAAAGTGCTTGCATGGTAATGTATCTCCTTCCAGAAGGGGGCGCTATAGTCTTAATGGTTTGAAAACAACCCCTGCTCAAACTACACCACCAAATCCAGCCTAAAACTTTCGAAAACCATCAGTGTGCTTTATGTCTCCTACTTTGAGGTTAAATTTGCCTAATTATACGTAGCATATTTTGAATTTACATAAGAATGACAGGCTAATGCAGGCGTATAAGATCAAGAGGCCAAATGTCATTGAGTTCTTTGCTGAGGCTTCTTTGTCTGACGTCTTGGTTTTTAAACTAACAGGAATGAGATAAAGTAATTTTCCTCTGAACTCAGATCAGTTCTTCAGTTCACTCTTATCAGAGTCGACAGCACCCCCTACATTCCTGCAGTTGTACTGTACTCTACTAATATATACAGTGTGTATATATGGTATTTTTGTTTTTAGTAGTCTGTCTCCTGGTATCTCTCTCTCATTCTCTCTCTCTTTCCAGTGTGTCTGGAGGCGAGCTGTTCGACCGGATCGTGGAGAAAGGTTTCTACACCGAGAAAGACGCCAGTACGCTCATCAGACAAGTACTAGATGCTGTAAACTACCTCCATAGTATGGGCATCGTACACAGAGATCTCAAGGTGAAAGAATCACACCTGCATTCACTGATATTGCTCTGGTTTGAAGTGTTTGATTTTAATGTGTGTGTTTCGTCTTCAGCCTGAGAATCTGCTCTATTTCAACCCTCAAGACGGCTCAAAGATCATGATCAGTGATTTCGGCCTGTCTAAGATGGAGGGGACGGGTGATGTCATGTCCACAGCATGTGGAACGCCAGGATACGTGGGTAAGAGTTTAATATGAAAGAGAGATGGAGATGTTTTTGATTTCGCTTCGCTATGGGTTATGTATTTGAAAAAGCATGAATGATTTGGTCGGTTGTAGATGTGCATGTGCAATGTGTGTATATATATTTTAGCTATTGGAAAGTGACTGCTTGTGTTGGTTCATTTGTGTGCAGCCTGTATTTGCACTTGAAGCTTACTCTTATCTCAGACTGACAGAAGTGCCCCAGAGTCGCCTGCTTTTCCCCTGCGATTAGAGCGACCGCAGCACTTTGAGCCAACATGGCTGCATGTGAAAGAAACACACACAGGCTGGCTACAAACATCTTTGAATATTGGGAAATACTGAATTAGAAAATAAACGAATGCTGCTATTAAAAATAGAATTTGTTAATTGAAATAGGAGCAAAAATAAAAATAAAAATAAATAATAGATGTAAAAACTTAGACATTAGAAATGTTGCCTTGGAAAATAAACTAAGTTTGAACTAAAATGACTAAAACTAATATAAAAATGAAAACAAATGAAGGAAAAATAATGGCAAACAAATGACAAAAGCACATAAGATTACTAAAATTAAAACTGAAGAAAAGGCTAATTTAAAATATTAATAAATACTATGACACTTGAAATACTATTATTACTTAGATAATACCATGTTATCACCGATAAGGATGTCCAAAAAAACATCAGATGGAAAATAAATATCATAACTACTGTATATCAGTTTTTGAGTAAGTTACTCTAAAAAAGTCATTCATTACTAGCTACTAATTACACTTCTAATAGTGTAACTAGATTACTGTACTAAGTATTGCATGACTTCTTAATAATTACTTTCTAAAGCCCATATCAACCCTGACCAGTTGAACAATACAAGATAGACGTGAAACTGCTCTTTTAATTCTTTGGAATAAATAATGTCAAATTGCATAAATTATTCTTGAACTGACTAGTATTTAAAGGGAGACTCTTGCATTAAAGATTTATTTATATTTTAAGATATAAGATATCTTTTTCAAGGTCATTAAATTACTGTAATGAATTACAAGAGTCATCATACGGTTGAAATATGTCTAGTAGGTCTATAACCAGACCAGAGTAAAGTCACCTACATGAGTTTCCTACATGCCTCTTCATGCATGCATGTTTAAGACAGTCTTTACGTGCAAGTTTCCATGGTAACCGCGCTTAAACGGCGCTGTGGTGGCTATAAAACACCGCTTCAACCAGTTGCATACTGGGCTGGGGTCAGACGCTGCTGTGAGTGAGGTTTCTCTACAATGGAAACACTAGACTCCAGCCTGGATGAGAGCAGCTCGCAGGCATGCATTCTGTGTGTGTCTCTGGCATAGCCTCTTTTTGTCTTTAAATGGTAACAGTCTCACACCAAGCTCTCCAAATCAAATTTAAGGATCAACCGCTGTCATCATTTTCTATCCTTTAGCTCCTAATCTTTCGCTCTATTTTTGTTTTGTTTCTCTCTCTCTCTCTCTCTCTCTCTCACACACACACACACACTAGTAGACACTTCAAGTGATGATGGGATTATATTGATCATAGCCTGAAAATAGCCCGTCTTGGAAAACATCCATTCCTGCAGTCCTAAGACAGGAATGAACGGTTTCGTTTTCATATAGGGAGATGAATTCAAGCAGGTTTTGTTTGCGGATACTCAATTAAACTGCAAAAGAAGCCTGTATGACCTAATGCAGTATGGATGTGTTTGTGTTGTGGGGAGTGTAGCCATTATATTTTATAGTTTTCACCACCTGAGTCAACTTTTACTATTAAAAACTAGTTTTTCCAGCAAGTAGTGGTTCAATTACTGTTGTTCGTCATAGTTTTGCACAGCCTTGCATCACTGACAAGTGAATTGGTCAGATTTGTTTTAGATTTGTTTAGATGGCTTATTTCAATTCATTTTCAACTGATTCAAAGTCCCGTACCTCATTTTAGCTTTTTTGCAGCAAAATGAATACTTAAATATATAAGTATATAAATATATATTAAATATATCACTGTTTTTGTTTATTTTATCATTGTGTGTTTGAGATTTTTGTAGTCATCCTAGTCGAGATCCTTTCAATGGCATTCGATATGTTTATCTACTCTAAATTTGCTAAAATCGTTTAAACTAAACAGTTATTTTTGCCAAGAATATTAAGTCTGCTTCATCTAACAACTGCAATTTTAAAAAAGCCAGATAGTGATCATTTTGAATCAGAGTTTTGATTCAGTGAAACACGTTGAACTGATTCATTAAATTGAATCAAACCTACCATCTCTAACAGAAGTAGCTGCGCAAGTTTATATTGTTGAAATTCAAAGTGTTGCTCAACTCAACGGTATAATGCCAACAAAATAACTGTAAATATATTGTGATGATTTAATACATGACAACTCTAACTGAGATTTTTTTTAATGATATCTAAAAGATAAATAGCTTCAATAGCTCCATTTCCGAAGAGTAGCTTCAGTTTAGTTTTAAGTATGAACGCTTGTAGCCCTGCAAGCTAAAAAAGTATCTTCCTCAACGCTGCTACCTGTGTGTTTTTTGGAGCTGTTGTTTAAAGGTCACAGGGTTTCTATCATTTCTAATGGAAATGTGCCTGTTTCATTTTAAGAGCTTTTCAGAAAGCGGCTTTCAGAAGTAACAGACTAGTCCAGCCCTAAACCAGAGAACCAAAGCTTTTGTGTCGAGAGTGAAAGCCTGTTTCCTGAAGGGAGGAAGAAAATGTCTAGAGGCAGAATAATAGATTATATTTAGAAGGACGCAGGAGCCTTGACCTCCTATGGAGAAGAACAGGATTATGAGTATGCGAGTGTTTCTCAGGCTCAAAAAGTAGTTTTTTCTGATAGTAAATTGAGTGCACTTCATGATTTCTGTGATTGTCTGCTGTCTAACACATGCTTGCACATCTATATTCTCTTATAAAGAGCTGTAAACATTTTTATTTTCTGCTATTTCATTTTAAATAGAAAAACAATAGAAAAAGGACCTATTTTGCAAAATTTGCAAAATCTTTTTACACCGGACTGCTTCACAAACAAGGGTCAGTTCAACACTGGGTTTGCACAAAAGTTATTTCTGAAAGATTTTTAGAATAACAAGACTAACAACTAACTAACTTTAGAATAACAAAAGTGCATGCTAGTATCAACTTAAATCCACAACAATTACATAAATGTATCCAAACCATTCAGAAACGTCTAATTGCATTCTAAAAGTTGTTCCCATCAGGGTTTGAACATATAATGTCGAACACCGCTACAATTTCTGACATTTTGGCTGCGTGACATTCTCCAGTATTGTTGTTGCCGGAGTATCTAAAGGCTCCGCCCCCTTTTCAGAAGCAGCAGCTCATTTGCATTTAAAGGGACACACAAATGGCATGGTTTTGCTCAAATTTGACAAGCTATAATACTATATATGATCTGTGGGGAATTTTGAGCTGAAACGTCACAGTTACATTCGGGGGACAGATTACATCTCATGAAAATGGGCATAATAGGTCCCCTTTAAAGTAGCTAAACAGCTGAGCTTGAATTCTCAGGACAGTTTTCATATTGCGAGACTGACTAATAAAACAGGAATGGTTTGATTTGTTTGTCTCATTCAGATGTGTTTGTTTCTCTCTTCTCAGCACCAGAAGTTCTCGCTCAGAAGCCGTACAGTAAAGCTGTGGACTGCTGGTCTATCGGAGTCATTGCCTATATCCTGTGAGTACCCACAATGCTACACTCGTCCTTTCGTTTATAAGCTTAGGAATCATTCAGATAAGGTTTGAATGAGACTTTTATACAAAAACAAGATCGGAAGAAACAGTTGAGGAAGTGACCCATCTCTCCTGATCGTCTGCAGATGTTGTGCCCCACTTTACTCAGACTCCTTATATGGTGCAGTTTGAGTGAGTCGGAGTCATTAAAACAGGAAAAAGAGAGTTTGTGTCTCACAAATATGTGAGATGTTGATTGATGGAAGATTTTCATTTTCTCAGCAGATGTTTTAAGGAAATTCTATCTTACCAATAAATACTGTGGTGGTCCAGTTTTACAGGGATGTATGAGATGCTAATGCCATGGCTCTGATATATCATGAAGGATTCACAATGGTATTTGCATATAGGGCAGGGTGGCAAAAAAGAAAGAATTGTTTGTTTTATGATGAATGATGATGGTTGATGTTTGAGATTTATATATGTGACGGTTTTATCAGGGTATATTGTATTATCCAGGTGTTTAATTAAGTTACCAAAAAGTATTGTCCTTCTAACAGGTTTAATAACTTTTTTCTTAAAACAAAAAGAATATTTAAATACAGTAGAATAATACACAAAAATGTTTAAAAGTAAAGATTTATAAGTGCAAAAGAACAATAGAGAACACTTTATAGCAAGCTTCCATTAGTTAGTATTAGTTAATGCATAAACTAACAATGAGCAATTTGTGTTACAGTAGTTAGTTATTTTTCTTTGTTAATATTAGTTAATAAAAATACCATTGTTCATTGTTAGTTCAGGTCCAATAAATATAATATTAACAGATACGACTTTTGATTTGAATTATTTGTTAGTAAATGTTGAACTTAACACTAACTATAAGATTAATAAGTGATTTAAAATTATTTTCATTGTTAGTTCATGTTAACTAATGAATGCACTAATGTTAACAATTGTAACAATAATAAGGAATTTTTTCAATCAGTATCTTTAGTCCAGATTAAAATGTAAAAATGTTAAGTCTAAGTATTGAGTATTTGGTGCAGCAAACACAAAAATATGAATGGTTGTTTGTGCAAAATTATTGTGAATATACTGTATCATCATAACCCACCTCCCCCTTAACTCTCTCAGTTTGTTTTCTTGCGGGAACGTTCATAAGGTTACTGAAAATGTGTCACAAAAGCTGTACATTTCACATGAGCTGTGGCCATCTGCTCTTCTCTCTCTCTCTGTGTGTGTGTGTATTATCATTGGGTCTGAGTGGAGACAAACAAACATAAAACAAGCTTCGCATCACCTTCTCGTATCTCAGTCTCCATGTACATCTGAGTAAATTCTCTTTTGTTTTGGTCTTTCAATCCCGGCGACTCTTGCGCCAACACAAACACTCACACTGTCTGTCAACAAACTGATGAAGCTGTCGTTCAGACTGCACTTCCCATCACTCCCACTCACAGCTGTCCTGATCAAAACTATTCACATGGGTAACACTTTATTTCTCTAACAATAAGAAACTCAGGTTAGTGGTTAGGTAGTTAGGTCCTGCAAACTTGTAGTTTCTCAGAGGAACGCAAAGGTTTTGCGAGAAAAGGCAAAAGCTCTGACTTATTATTTGAAAATGAAGCAAATGAAATCGATACTATAAAACAATATAAATGCTACTAAATAAATGCCTATGCTAGCCCTTCCTCCGCTCAGATCTCATGGATGGTTGGCCTCCTCTCAGGTGTGATTATTGCAGTGACAACCGGCCGAAACTGTAGCTAATTCTCTTAGCGTCTGATTAGCTAAGAGAGAAAAACACAAAGCTAATGGGGTCGAAATCAGGCAGAAAATTACTTTCCTTTTCTCCCCCACTGCCTCTGTTACCCATGAGGAAAGGTATTTTAATGGCTTTGATGGTGGGAGGGAGAGAGATTTGAATTACATTGCTCAGGTTTAATCAGCTGTCTTTCTTTTCTGATTTCCAGAGGCCCGTGGGGTTTATTTACGCTTATTTGTTGAGCGTTATGTTCACTGTTAAATCAAGGTGTCCGCTGATGTGTTTTCAGAGGAGTACAGTGGTAATATAAAGGTATTGTTCACCCAAAAGTTTACTCAGGGCTAGGACTAATAATCGAAAAGTAGTCCTTATGACTTTTTGCACTGTTTAGAAGTCATTTATGAAGGGCCATTTTTATGAAGCTGTGTTTATGAAATGCAAGTAGTATGGTTGTGGGTTTGATTCCTAAGAAATATATACTGATTAAATTAGTAGTTCTCAACAAACTTCCAAGGGGGCATTAAAATGACAAAGCAAAAGTATAGCTTCAAACATTGTTGTGGACAATGGGGAAAGGTTGAGATCCATATGTTGCAAGTGGAAATGATGTAATAGACTCATGTTTTCTTACAGACTGTGTGGTTACCCTCCCTTTTATGACGAGAATGACTCCAAACTCTTTGAGCAGATCCTGAAAGCGGACTATGAGTTTGATGCACCGTACTGGGATGATATTTCTGATTCAGGTATACGTGTGGAAGAGAACTACATCATGCTTATGGTCTGGTTTATAGGTGTTTAATCTATAAGACACTTACTTATTAACCCCACATGTTGCCAGTAAGAGTGGAAAAATGTTTTACTGGAAATTGGGAAATTGCTACAGGATCTAGCTATATGAAATTATTCCAAACTATGAATCAGGGAACAATAAATGAATCAAAATGGTGTTGTCAGTGCTTCCACTGATAAACTCAAAGTCTCAGTTTTATCTTACCAACAATGAATGAATGTGGCATACTGTAGATTCACTACATGAGACAATTTCTGATGCCTTGAATCGTTCAAATCTGCTGTGCATGTATGTTTTGTGTGTGTTTAATGTTTATGTTTAATGTACAGCAAAAGACTTCATCAGTTGTTTGATGGAAAAGGACCCCTCAAAGCGATACACATGTGATCAGGCCCTTCGACATCCCTGGTGAGTCTAGTGATGTCCTGATCTAAAAATAATAATTATTATATCTTACCATTAAAACTCCTTTTTATAATAAAGCAATACTATAAAATACTAATCATTAAGAGTGAAACTATCAATTATTTAGTAATAATGTTTAAGAAATAATTTCAGTTTAATTTAAAGCAATAAAATTAAAATTAATTAATTTGTTAATAATAGTAATTTTTATTATATTAATTATATTATTATATATTATTATAATTTTTATTATATTTTTATTTTATTATAATAATTTTTTTATAATTGATAATAATAATAAGCAGTTCATAAAACAGTACACTAGCCTAACTGCAGGTGAAATAGTGGAAAAAGGAAGCATTTAATAAAGATAATTTTGTACCAGTAACAAGTATAACTCAGATCTTTATGATTTATTTTGTTGGATTGTCATTCGGGTCCTTTAAGACACTTGAACTGCAGACCAATTAAACTGTGACCTCATAAACAGCAGTTAGAGATTGAGTTTTATTTCACTTTATTAGTGCAACGTTTCATTCGTATTAGGTGGAGACACGATCTGCGTCAGCCGGGGATTGCATGTGTGTTCTGAGTATCAGGCTGAATTCTGTCTCTCTATTATCATGCACTCTCTCAAGGGCAGGAGAAAAGCTACTGAATAAACGCTAGCCAATTAAGACGCTGCGCCTAATCTCACATTATGTATTCCGAAGCGCTAATCGGCAATTAGCACATCCTCTACAGGCACCGTTAACGACTCCGAGCCTTTACCGAACACAGGATTTTGAAAGTGGAAGGATTGAAAACCGTAGGGAATTTACACACTTTGTAGAAATCAAAGTGCTTCTCGAGAGGAGAGATGAGAGGAGACCAGAGGACATCATTGTTGGTGAAGAAAGTTGCAAAGTTTTGACGTTGTCAATTTGCTTTCCAGGATCGCAGGAGACACCGCGCTCTGCAAGAACATCCATGAGTCCGTCAGTCGACAAATGCGCAAAAACTTTGCAAAAAGCAAATGGAGAGTGAGTATAAGTTACCAGAAACACACTTTATGAAAGTATAGTCTGTGAACACATTGAAACTAGAAGTATTTGGTTGGAATGCTGCACAGTTTGGGCCCAAGTGTCACTTATCATTGTCTTTTCACATAACAGCAAGCCTTCAACGCCACGGCTGTGGTTCGCCACATGAGGAGACTCCAGTTGGGCAGTAGTATGGGGAGCAGCATGGACCAATCGAGCTCCGCCAACCAGAACCGCACACTGAACGCGAGCCAGACTCCAACTCTACCGCCCAACACTACACCCAACTCCACTCCGGCACTTACCCAAAACCACAAACCTGCTGCCAACCCAAATGCCGTTCTTATTAACGATATGGCCACAGGAAACACCTCTATAACACGCAAAGACTGTAAATATCTTTTTTTTATACACACACACACATATATATATATATATATATATATATATTTTTTTTTTTTCCATATACATAGTAGAGAAGATTTAATTTAGTCTGAAATCTATATAAACCACAGTGTTCACTGCTTTAGACTTGATGACTACAGCTACCGTCAGCTTGTGTTCTCTATAAAGAATCCTCCTGAAGATACAACAGCGTTTTAACTTAAGCAACAATTCTTGTTAGTTTTAATATTTAAATTTGAATAGATTTTAGATTAACTAGAAATATTTTATTTAAATATTTAAAAAATATTAATAAAATAAAATATAATATTAAATATGTTAATTAACAAAACACATTTTTTTTAATAGTTTAAGTTTTACTTTTTAGTTGACAATAAAAACCCTGTTCACGTTACCACTCAAACATGTGCAGGGATGAATAGCATGGTATGTTTTAAAATGAAATAAAATGAAAAATATTGCACAAAATATGCAAAAAATTATTGTTTATTCCTATAGATTATAAATACAATTATTTTAATTCCTTTTTCATTTTGTGGGATTTAAAAAAAAATTATGTACTCGTGCAATCGATTAATCGCAATTAATTGCATTTAACAAAAGTTTGTAAATGTATACGCGTATGTGTGTGTGTATTTATGCATGTATACTGTATATGAATAATCATAAACATATATATTTACACACTTTTATGTTAGATGCGATGGCTCACGATTAATCGATTTGACAGCACTAGTATGAACCTTTTTGCACTTCAACAATGGTTGTCCAACACATGTTTAAGGCATTTCAGACATACATAAGTATTAAGTAAATAACTACATATATTTTAGCTGTAATTGCCTAGCCCTAGTTTCTATATCAAATGTATCAGTTTCCACACATGCACTAAGCAGTGAATTTGCATTTGTAGGTACGCCCCCTCCCCACGCTTCCTGTTCTCTGGCATCAGCTGCTTCCTCCTCTTCCTCGGGGGCGGAGCCCTGCAGGCCCCTCCCTCCCTCCGTTGCGTCGGTGACCACAGTGCTAACTGGGACCAAGTGACGCCAGGTTCTGCGGGGAGAGAGCTGGGAGGCCACTGCCCTGTGAGTCCTGCCCCTCAGCCCGCTCCCCGCCCTGCCGTCCTGTAAGGCAGAGGACTGAACCATCGCCATAGCATCACTGCGCGCGCGCCTAATCCACTCCTGCCATTTAACCTCCAGGCCACTAGAGGGTGCAATGCATGCAGCGGCAGGAGACAGAGATTTCCAGCAGATGGCTTCCATTTTGAGAAGTGAATTCGTGCGGCTGGACAGAACTGTGATGTCTTTGCTATGAATGTGCTACGAACCTCGTCAGCCATGTAACCTTTGGGGGAAAAAACGAACGAACGAGTGAAAAGAGCGCAGAGGTTCAGGTGCGAAAGTGTGTGCATGATCGTGTCGGTCCTTATAAGAGGACGGCGCCAATGTCAAACGATTCTTCTTACTATATCGTAACATGTCTAGCTCTTCCCTCTTTCCCTCTTTTTCCCTATCTACTCACGATTTCTTGTATTCCTTCCTAGCCACCATTCTGATCTTTCGTGGGTTTTTCACTGATGTGTCATGCTGACCTGCAGGAGTGCTTTTAATATAACGTTAAGACTGTTTCTGAGTCGAGACTTCTGTTTGCACATAAGAGAGAACATTTATTGGCGCTTTACAGTGTTTTACAAACGCAAAGCTGGGAGATTATCGATTTGAGACCTCACAGTTGGGTTTTAGCATCACGAAGTTCAAGATATCTGATAAAACATTCAAGATGTTTGATTGTTATCTTACTTAACTGGACTTTTTTTGTTTTAACGCAGAGAAAAAGCAGCTTGTTCCTGTTTCTATCTGCTTTGAATACACACACAGTAAGTGTTAGGTATTGAATATAGTATAACTGTTACTCAACACAAACACACAAATCTCCCGAAAAGCCATGGCAGCGTCTTTCTACGCCCAGTGTACGAGTTCTCAGGGAATTCCGCAGCTGCGCTGGGCATCATAGTGATGGGAATTATACTAAACGCCTCCATGGTTTGAGCTTGTCTCATCCAGACTGAATAATGTCAGAAATGTAGTTTAGGATGATAGACAGCTGTTTAACTCGTGCATACGATTGTATGACAATTTGACCATGCTGTAAAACTGACATGTTATGCTACATTTATGCTGTATCAGAATTAGCCTACCACAATTAAAAACATTAGCAAATTCCTAATAGAGTGCAACAGCCGGGTACCGGACGGAGAAATGTCATTGATTTCCATAGGGAAATAGATTTTTAAATCCAAGGTTGTTAATGCTGTATAATGTGTAATGCCTTCAGTCTTTATTATATTTCTACTTCATTTTTTAAATAATCGTGTTTAACAGCGGAATTCCTGGTGAAAAACTACATTACCCATGATATAGCAAAAAAAAAGAAAAACGATGATATAGCCAGACAATAATTGTGAGCATATTTTGTAATAAACATATACACAATCAACATCTTTATATCAATCATTTTATATTTATTTGTTGTTTTTGCTTTGATTGTCATATACAATGCTTCATGGGATTTGTAGTTCTTTCTCTGAGACAACCTTGAACTTTTTTTTTCCTCAATCCTGTTTTTTTGCTTATTTTTGTTCGTTTGTAATGTTGTGATTGACCTTGTAACTGGTTGATTTGGCTCATGGCTTATAACTATTAAATTTAGACTTTTTAAAAATCCCTATGAAAAAAAATTAAAGAGAGAGCATGCACTGTTGCACTCTATTACACTTTGGAAACGAATTAAAGGCGAGACCGATTTTTTGTTTTTGTCCGACAAATGATTGGAAACCCGTTTGAATCCGGTCACTATTTTTGCAACGTTTTATTTAGATACTGCCAATATTTGTAGTTAATTTGTAATTTTATCAAAGACAGTGTATCATGGTGTGCTTTCGCTCTTCCTGAATTCGCGAGAGGTGAATTAAGGTTTCTATGAAGTATTTTGCCTTCACCATCAACAAAAAAAAGCATATATCCATTTGGCGTAATGAAAGGTTAATGTTTTTTAGTCATTTTTGGATCGGTAATTCTGAGACAGTATGAACGCAGCATTACTTTAATGGAATGGAAGCCAACGAGGACTTTCAAGTGCGATTCAAAATGGCTGAATTTCTTGTATTGGTTTAAGGGCTAAGCTTAGGTTTTTACACTTCCTTATTGATGGGTGACGGGTCTTCGTCCTCTGCTATTATGTCCTGTCGAGTTTTTAAAGTGACTGATGTCTTCTTTGCCCTTTATGGTTTGCTAATATCACAGGGGGGGAACCAAGATTTAGGAGTGCGTGACATTTTCCAAAGTGCCATTGAATATCTTCATTGCATTTGACATTAGTCCTGAATGTTTGTTTCAGTGTGGGCAGCGCCTCACAGTCAGGTCATGCATGCACCATTTTGTCTTCATTTTCACACCCGAGAGGAGCTTGTAATCTCACAACAGAGAAGCTTTCCACAAAATAACTGGGGCAAAGTTACTGTACGGTGTTTTTTATGTCACAAAAGCTATTTTCTTTGAGGTGAACTGCACATTTCTGTTAAAACATTAGGTGTTCGATAAGTAACGCTGAATGTTAAGCTCTTTTGATACTATCAGTGGCATAAAGTCGATTACCACAGGAAATCATTTCAATTTGTCCCTTAGTTTCTAATAGTAAAAGTCTATGGAAAGGCATCACGGACGGATTAAAAGCCAAAATGTGAAGCTCGTATTTTTGTTCAAGCATTTCCATTCATTTTTCTGTGCAAATATGTGTTATTTGAAATGTTTTTGCTTGTTTCTATAAACCGAGAGACAATTGCAAAAATGATTTTCTGTGGTAAAAGGGCATAACATTGTTGGCCTTAGTGTTCATGTACTCTGTGTTTGTAAGTGTCACCTTTTTCTGTGTGTATTTATGGGTGTAAAATGCAGGAAATTTGTCCGATATGCTGGTTTTGAATATTTTTAAACCCTCAATAGGATATGCAGAAAAAGTATAAACCAAAACGTTGGGATGTATTGAATATTGAATGAATATACAGTTACTGCCACAACTCCAAGCCAAACATAAATGTATTTAAATATAGTATAACAATTAGGTATATGAATTCATTTTAACATTCAATTCAGTAATGCACACACATGTGCCATGGCTCACACACACACACACACACATCCTGATCAGTCAGTGAGTGCAATGAAGGACCGAGAGGAAGTCAAAAACGATGTGTATTCACGATGTTTCAGTTTAATTCGATCATCACTGTCGTCTGTCTGTGTCCAGAGCAAATCACTCTGTGTGTCCGAAGGCTTTGTAAATAGACTGTGATTGTGACGTGTCTATCATGTTGTCCCTGAGAAGATGTTAGTGTACGTTTCTCATCTCGTTCTCTAAACACTGCCTTTCTCTGCAGTTGTCGGCCACACACTGACTGTAACACACACAGATGTATATTCACAAACTCGTGTCTCTTGCCGTATGTTGTTCGGATAAAATCACGTTTCTATTGTACAAACTTCAGTCTGCACTTCACACGAGCAACATGCTAAATATTTAACGATGATCGGTTGTGATGCAATCTTTTCCCAACATTTGTTTTTTTCGTTTTTTTTTACCAACTCAGGCGTCACTTTTGCCTCTTACGATGAAAAAGCTGTGACTGACAAGTGTCTGTGCTACCCAGTGACTGTGCAGTTTTAAACTTGTCCCTTGAATGTCGACTTATTTACAGACTAAGAAAGAAAATACATTGCAACTGCATCGAATGATTTTATAAACAATTGCAAGCATGTTAAATGCGCTTTCCGATTCAACTGATTGTTTGCGTATTTTCAAAAGTCCTCACCATGTAACTATATGTATGGAGAAATATGTCTGTATCTATATGAATATATATTTAAAAAAAATGCAACTCTTGCAATGCAGGCCTTGTGATCTCTGCATCTCTGACACAACCTGTCCGAAATAAAAGTTGCCCAGTGAAATGTGAATTATATACTCATATGCATGTGACAATGATGATCATATTTTGGGAGTGGCATACGAATACTAACTTTACTGTGACGTGATCTTCTGTTGATATGGGGCTTGTATATCCAATGCCTTTGACAATCATCTGCACATATCAGAGTTTATATTCCATGCTGTTAAGCAATGGGGAATGAATGATTGTTTTGGGTTTCTTTTTTTTTCTTTCTTTCCTTTTTCCTTAAATAAATCCTGAATGATCATGATATGTCTTTTATGGCTCAATAAGATTCAAGGATCTCTGTGGCCCACATGTTTCAGCTTTTGAACACTGTTTTCTGTCATTAGTTTGGTTTGGATCGCTTTCATTAGCGGTCAGTCAGGGTCCCCCACCAGCACATCCTCAGGCGCTGCCTCCTGCTACTGACTCAAAACAGACTGGCAAGAGACCATGTGAATATCATCCAGCCATGCATGACCGCTTACGACCCCCAGGCATCTGTGCATGTGTCTGGCCAACATGTTAGACATTAGCTATGTCGAGGAGGCCACATTGAAAATAAAGCTTGCCAAGAGACTAAAAATTCAAAAAGTAGGCAGATAGATAGATAGATAGATAGATAGATAGATAGATAGATAGATAGATAGATAGATAGATAGATAGATAGATAGATAGGGGCGCTGGTACATTTACTGCAGTATTCAATAAAAACAACTCGAAACACTTAACTTCATGTCTTCCATATTCAGTAACAGCTCTGAACGAGTCACTGACCAAGCTAATTTGATTCAAACAGCTATATGTGAATCATTTTGACTAATGAATCATTTTGGATCTGAAAGAACCAGTTCATAAGAGTCATTTGTTTCAGAATCTGACATGTTCATGTTCTTTGCAGAAGCACTGGCACGCGCTATCGGCACCTGACCTCACAAGACTGTTTTCAATGGCGACTAGATTTTAAATAATTGTCGCGGTAGATTATCTTAATAATTAGGCTATATATAAGTGATATATATATATATATATATATACTTATACACAAGATGAGACCGGGTTGTTTTACTGCACTCAGCTGGGGCCTCTGAGTCCGTAGCACCAAGCGCCATCCCATAATTCCACTGTCCACGAACCCACTATTTTTATAATGGCATAAATGCTACATGGGATGTCAATATCTCAGCTCTGGAAGGTCTAGAGCCTCCATTTTTGCACTCAGGTCTAAGTCTCATGGCCCTCTATCAGAATCCAGAGTTTTGGGAAGATTGGAGAAACTCAAAATTTCGACATGAAAAAACCGACAGGGGTACCCCTGTCGACTTTTTCGGGGCGAAAAAAAAGTTTATCTTATCTTCTTGAAACTCTGCATTGACTCTGGGTTTTTTTTCCTTAATTTTATTTTATGCATTTATAAATTCCAATCCAACTGTCTCTGTTGATGTGAAACTGATCAACTGTCTTCTCCAAACTTTAGACTACTTCTGCAGACAGTGCAGAAACCAATTTTCATTTTACAGACCAACATCCCAAACATCTTAAAATAGATGCTGAGATTTCCCCGGAGGAAAGCACACATTGTTTTTCCCCTCACGCCGCTGCAGGGGCCAGCAGAGTTTCCCTGCCATTATCTTCTTAGAATAAATTACATTTAACTGCATCGCCCCGAGTGCCCATGTCTGTGTGCTCAGCAACATGTGACCAAAGAAACTTAACGGTGGGAAATTATGAGTCATGCTAATGCTATAGTTTGGAAAGCCACAAAAATGTTCATCTTTTAGTTCGAAACAAGGGAATTCCAGTAGATGCTGGGGGTACAAATAAGGTCACTTTCCCAGAATAGTGGCACACATAACAGAAAACAGAGAAATAAGGATTTCAAGTGCACTCACTCACACACACCAGTCTACTAAAGAGATCTCATAGATCCAGCAGGTCATTTAAAATAAAAACCTGAGCTATTAAATGGCATCTCTGGCTCTTTGTTTGAGATTTATCACAAACAATCAGTTATTTACCCTACCAACACGCACATCTAGTCATGCAAATCTATCCAAAGCAGTGCAAGTCATGCAAACTCAGATCAAAAACACCTCAACACACAACATATTATGAAGTCATCTTCACTCACCAATGAAGTTCACTTAAAATGAAGAGATGTCCAAACGTCTTTTGAGCAAATTGTCAGTCATTTTTTCAGATCTGCCAGTCATTGAATTGACAGGAATTCATTTTCAATTGCAAGCATGACTAGAGTGTGTAAACAAAATCACCCGGTGGCCATCTTGGCAACACCCCCAATGTTGGTTATTATGTATGTAGCACAGCTGCTACCTGCGATCTGTCTGAAATGTCCAACACTATTGGCCAAGCCTGTTTCAAAGCAGAAATAAAATCTGACAGCACTATCCACCTTTTTTTTTAATTTTTTTTTTTTTTGCATTCACAATTTGGCTCAAAAAACAGTTACTGATATGTTGCACACGCATGGCTTTCTCCACTTGGAATGCTGAGAAAAGTTCCTGTAAAACACAATTTCTGTCTTCTTTAAGGACTCCAAAACAAATTTAGTTTGGTAAAAAAAAAAATTCCTTCTTAAAACGAATTGACGTTCCTATTTTGCAACACAGTGCGTTCTAATGCAGAGATGCTATTGGCCATTATCAAGTGACCAAAGCCTTAACGCTGTCTTTAGTTAGACTATTTCTCTAGTTCTTAACTTCACAGTCAGTGTACATCATCAGCTCCTGCTATCAACCTCTGGCCTCTTAGTTCCTGTTATTTGATCACATCTGCAGCTCAAAGACTTTGATAACAGACTCAGACTGTGTTGAAAGTGGACAAATGTCAATCTGGTGTGTTTTGTATTGGGATCAGCTGGGTTTAATGTTTATCTGAGGACTGTGTTTGCTTGGTTTGGAGTGAGATTGAACCGTCTTAGATCTGTACGTCCACCACTGTCAGCATGCTGATATGCCGTTGTGGTAATGTTTTGTGTAGCAGCAGTTGAAAGACTCCTGCAAAGTTCAATATTAGTTCACAATCAGTAATTTTTGTTGATTTAGAGAGCCTAAAACTATCTGGGTTCAAGAACTGGTGAAATCAAAGCTACCGTCTGCTCAATGTGTGTTCAAAAGAGAGGATGGGTACTCTCTAATGCTACCACATGTGATACAAATCATGTGGAATAAGAGAAATGTTTAAGATTTGGGCTGTTTTTAACATTTCTTTCTGCATGATGCACGAGTTCCATTACTGGAGGAATTGTGGGTGTAAAGATGAAAACTCCTGATGTTCCTGTGTGTGTGGTCCTGGTAAACCCTACATTATGGGGACAAAACGTCCCCAGAAAGATGTCAGTATCTGAAATATTTTTCCTTGTGGGGAAATTAATTGAAAAACAGCTTTTAAATCATATTACGTGATGTTTTTGACAATGTAAAAATGCAGAAAGTTTCTCAGAATTGAACACAGACACATGTTAAACACATTCACTCTCTATCTCAATCTGCTCAGCAGATGAAAGGAGACAGTGAGTGAGGATTTGCCGAGGAGCCGTCACTGGATCGTCTGCTTGATAACTGAACCTGTGATGCATTACTATCAGCCTGAATCAGATGTAATGTAATTCAGTGTAATCATAGTATCTGATTGTGCGCATGCTCTTACACTTATCTCTAATGTGAGTGTGTGAAGTGTGTGTATGTGGAGTGATGTAGCCATACAGGAGGTCCATATTTGATCTTTTAGCTTTTTTTCTTTATTGGAATTTCAGTCTGATTTAAATTTTGAGTTGATTATTTTTAATTTATTTTGAAGACAAACATTTTTTCAAAAGTTTATTAGAATAATTGTAAATGCATCAAAATGAACAATGTTTCTTTAAGAGGGCAAATTAGCTCCGCCCCCTCTAAACACGTTTGCTATTCTTACTGTACAGTGTACATACACACTCATATATTATAATCAAAAGTCTACTCATTCATCCATCTGCACAATCCAATATCAGCTGTCTCAGACTTCACAGAAGTATGAGCTAATTGCATTTGTGCTTACATTTGAGTTTTACAATTACAACTAAAGACAAACTAACAATACTTTGACCAATCACAATCCAGTATGCAAATATTATGATGACACTGTTGTCTGTTACATTCTAAATGCTGAATATTGTACAAAATTTCAAACCTTCATCTTCAGTTTCTTACAAACTATAGCGTTTACATTTGGAAGCATAAGGTGCCATTCACACCGAATACATATTTGCGGTTAAAAAACGAGATCTAGATCCAAAGATCCAAGATCGGGAGATTTATTTCAACTTATGCGCCACGTTTTTACAATGCCCAGTTAGTTGAAAAAGACGCGAGCGCAACAGTCAAACACATCCTATATGTTTACATTTAAAAACAATGAAAAGTAGCGCTTTGGAATGGAAAAAAGCGTTCTGTGTGACTGACATCGTCAGTCATATTTTGAATGCGTAAACATTCTGTCAGTGTTTGTCAATTGGAGATTTTAAAATAAACATGTTTTTATTGTTTTAAATTCTTCATGTGGCAGCATATTTGGTATTTCAAAATAAAAGTCACACATTTTTTTAAACGACATAATTAACCCAACTACATTAGGTTACACTAACAAGTAATTTTTTTAGTTGTATCAGAAATAAAAGTATTAAAATAATTCACTTTTAACACTATCATCTTAAATTTCTGTAAAAAGCATAGGCTATTAAAGGGATAGTTCACTTTGAAATTAATTTTAGCTTACCTCAAGGGCATCCAAGATGTAAATGTCTTTGTTTCCACAGTATTTTTAATTTTGACGTTTTTCGGTCAAACCGGTGTTGTCTGTCAGTCATATAATGGAGTTTTAGGGGGTCCACCTCAAAGAGCATGCACAGAGAAGTCAAAATTAAACATGATTTAATGACTCGTGAATGTAAGTAACGTTACACACTGATGGCCTAAGACACGAAACGAGCGGTTTGTGTGAGAAAACGAACAGTATTTATATAGTTTTTACCTATTGTTAACAGCTACGTGCACTGATCATGTCTTCCATTGTGATTTCCAGTGCACATAGCTGTTAACAAGAGGTAAAAACTATATAAATACTGTTCGTTTTCTCACACAAACCGCTCATTTCGTGTCTTAGGCCATCAGTGTGTTCTTACATTGACGAGTCATCATTAAATCATGTTTAATTTGCTCTTTGAGGTGGACCCCCTAAAAATATAACTAAGTTCATCCCTTTAAGTTTAAGCGTACTTTTATTATGTACAAAACATTTGGAGCTATGTTAACTACTACTAATATAATGTATTTGAAGACTGTCCTGCAGTCTTTACGAGTCAATGCACTGCAAAAAAATGAGTATATTTGTCTTGTTTTCCAGTAAAAATGCCATAATTATAGGGTCAATCACTTTTATTTTGATACATTTATCAGAATACAAGACAAATTTTTTCATGTCATCTTGCTTCTCAAGTAAACGTATCTTTTTAAGATATCCTGAAAAACAAGATAAAAATATAGAGTAAGAGAACCACTTGTTTTCTGTGTGTGAAGGTGTTTGTGTGATGAGTTCACAGTCCATGTGTGTATCTGTGGTGTGGAGGGGTGTGTTGGGGTGGAATAGCATTGAGGTGAAGTCCTGCACGTCTCTCCGCTGTCTTCACGAGCTCTTGGAGCTCCTGGCGTTCCCGTTCTGCGCGGCGGGACACCTTCCGGGCTTTCCTCAGGGAATGCCTCAGTTTCCCCACTCGTTCTTTTAACTGTTTATTCTTCCTCTCCAGCTCGGCCACGCGCTCCTGGAGCTGTCCAACCCGCTCCTCCTCTTCGAACAACACCTTCTGCACGGAGGAACACAGCAGCTGAAAGAATAGAGAGAGAGAAGGTCACTCGGGGATGTTATAATCAGAGGTCTGTGCATGCATTGATAACCTGACCCTGTGGAATGAAGGTCAATATACAACATGACATCATTTCCAGCCTCCGTCAGCCTTATTATTTCCTGTTGAGTGCTGCCTTTCTTCTCTGGGCCCCTACAGATGCCAGCGTGTGTGTGTGTGTTTGTGTGATGGAGGCAGTTCAAAAGTGACATGCTGTCATGCCCACGGTAGACACAAGTCGAGGCATGCTGAGTGTGTGTGTGTGTGTGCATGTGGAGTGTGTGTGATTACTGCATGTATTTGAGCGACGGGAGGACGCATGTTCTCCCTGAACAGCGGAAAGGTCTAAATCCCTGTTGTAAAGGGACAAATCTGAGTGTCACATGATGTCAGAGGTCACCACAAAAAACTGTGAACACAAGTCACATGAAAGTGAATGGAGACGGATGCTGTGAAGTTCAATGATCATTTTCCAGTGAATAATGACTTAAAAATGAGCATTACTCCAGTCGTCAGTGTCACGTGATTCTTCAGAAATTATTCTAATATGCTGATTTGCTGCTCAAGAAAAATGTGTTTTCTTTAACAATGTTGACAACTATGCTGTTTAATATTTTGTGGGAACCCTGAATTTTTTTCATTATGAACATTATGAATGTCTTTACTGTCACTTTTGACCAATTTAATGCATCCATGCTGAATTAAAGTATTAATTTCCTTTATTAATTAATTCCCCCCTCCCTGTATACGTTTATACAATGTGTTTGCGCATTGGTAAAAGCTATCCTGGCCAGAAGAGTGTTCAGACAAATAAGGAGTGATGAGATAACTGATGTTGTGTCCTACTGTCCAAACAAACCCCACTGCTGTAACAACAACAGTCCTCTCCAGACACCATGAGACCAGAGCCAGAGACTGACAAGTGGACACCAACCAACACACCTAAAACAACACACACACGCTGAATTAAACATCGCTGCTCATTAACAAGACCTTCTGTTATTTCTTTTGCTTGTGAAACTATGTAAACAGCTATCTAGCAATGCAATTTAATGTAATATGATTTCTTTTTATCGTGGGTGATGTGTATTTACAGCCACAAGAGCCAAACATAGCTTTCAGACCCAAACTAGACGCAGATGTGGCGGTCAGTGAGTCGTCTATAACAATAGAGTGTGTTTTTAGAAATGAAAATAAGAGAAAGAATGAAGAAGTGGAGAGAGTTTGGGCACACATTGGGGTCAGATAGATAGATAGATAGATAGATAGATAGATAGATAGATAGATAGATAGATAGATAGATAGATAGATAGATAGATAGATAGATAGATAGATAGATAGATAGATAGATAGATAGATAGATAGATAGATAGATAGAAAAAGTTTGAAGATAGATGGATAGATATAGATAGACAGACAGATAGTTTAGATAGATAGATGGATGGATGGATGGATGGATGGATGGATGGATGGATGGATGGATGGATGGATGGATGGATGGATGGATGGATGGATGGATGGATGGATGGATGGATGGATGGATGGATGGATGGATGGATAGATAGATAGATAGATAGATAGATAGATAGATAGATAGATAGATAGATAGATAGATAGATAGATAGATAGATAGATAGATAGATAGATAGATAGATAGATAGATAGATAGATGGGTAGATGGATAGATAGAAAAAGTTTGAAGATAGATGGATATAGATAGACAGACAGATAGTTTAGATAGATAGATGGATAGATAGATAGATAGATAGATAGATAGATAGATAGATAGATAGATAGATATATAGATAGATAGATAGATAGATAGATAGATAGATAGATAGATAAACGTTCTTTCAGTCAAAAGTTTCTTGTTATGAACGCATAGATGAAGTTGAGCTAAAACTCTTCATAATCCTTACATGGTATTTGATTAAATGCATTATACATTCAGACATTTTACTGCAGCGGCAACAGTGTTGTATAATGGGTGTTAAAGATGGATAGTAGAGGAAGCAGGGGGTGACATAACACACACACACACACACACACACACACCGTTCTGGCTACAGTCACAAGAGCACAAAGTCCCTCAGGCAGCCTCAATCCTTTTCCCACAGGAAAGCTCCTGTTTTAAACAGCTCTTATTATCTCTCTGATAATCAGCCCCACCTGTTCCTGCAGCACACACACACACACACACACCATCATTATCTTCATCTTCTCTCTCCGCAGCGTCTATGCATCTGTCTGTTTCTGTGATTAGTGAAGTGTCACTGTATGTCTTCTATGATCTGTAATACTTGAATAAATGTAACATTTTAAAATATTGAGGGTTCAGAAAAGATGCAGTTAAAATGAAATAGTTTTGAACCCACATTCCTTTATTGCACATCACATCTGTTTAGCACAGTGGACATCTGTTAGAGAAACCCTGCACCTCCTCAGGTCACAGCCTGTAATGTAGACACGCATGAACACTGTCTGCATGACGTACTGTAATCCTCATCATCAGAGGATGTCCGTGACTGTGCACGTACAAAGGCACATGTGCGAGTGATTTGAAAACAAAAGTCAATGACACTTTATTTTACAACGTCCTTCCTGCAGTAATAACTATAAATTATGCGTAATTACATGCAACTAACCCTAAATCACACCCTAACCCTAATACTCAGTACTTAAATGTATAAATACACTGTCACACAGACACCTGAACATAAAGTGTAACTATGCAAACAGTTGTTTAGCAATGCAATTTAATATAATACGATTTCTTCTTGACCTGGACTTCCACGTTCCAGGTTTTTCCACAAGCCCAAGGACCACAAGGACCCCTGACATTCCTCCCATTCTGCATCGAACCGTCCACATCGATCACATGATTTATTTTCCTTTCAAAACCAGAGGATGTTCACATGTCCATCTGATGTCTCCCTCACTCTTTCTTTTTATTTTCTATCTCAGCTTTATTTTCAGGGGCAGATGTGTGTGTTTAGGTGGGATAGGCTGTCCAAGTGTGTGTGTGTGTGTGTGTGTGAGAGGTAGGTAGGGCAGCTAGCTGGGAGGTCTTTAATCCGGCCTCTATCGAGCCGAATGAACTCTAGAATTATCTCAGCCTCCTACCGTGATGAACAGTCACAGCCGTCAATACATAGACCACCAAAGAAAGGGACTAGTGTGTGCTGTATGAACCTGGAGCTCCATTTACCCATGAGAACCTGAACATGTTACTTTCATTTTACTCTCACTTCCTGTGACACATTTTTGGCTGCAGCCAATCAGATTCCTTGAGTTGTTTTGTATAATAATTTGCAAGTAATTTCATTTTGTTGATCCTCCTGATATTTTATCCTTACCCTATGACTACGCTTACCCATAACGTATCCCTGAAATCAGAGGGAAATGAATAACACTGATGAAGAAGCAACCCTGTTTGTAAGCCTAAACTACTGTACATAGACTCTAAACTTGTCACTCAAATCTGATTGGCTGATTGGACTGTTGTTTCGGGATCGACAAAGATGCTGATCTACGAACAAATTGTACTTGGTGAAATCAGGTTCAATGTTAGTGCAGAACTACTGGAATGAAAATCGGCTGTGTTTTACTGTAAAGACCAGGTAAAAATAATGCAGTTGTGCGTGCAGACACTCCTGTCTTTAAAAAAGGCCTTTTACGAGTGGTTCTTGAATTTACAACAGAGTCGTTTCAAAACAGAACGCGCTCTAAACGTCTCTAACAAAGCTCACATCGGCATACGTTCACCTTTAGCAGATTCATGCCTTTAAATTCTCTTGACAAGATATAGTTTTCTGCATGCCAATGTTAAATCTACATCATTCAGGAGGTACTCGTTTATCTCTGCAACTCTAGTGCATATTGAACACATCTGTGTGTGTGTGTGTGTGTGTGTGTTTATTGGTGTCGTACCCTGCTGTCTTCCTGGCTCTCCCAATCACTATTAAAGTTGTGCACCGTCTGTCCAGCAGAGCAGTTTGAGAACTGGAAGAGGCTGGAAAACAGGCGTCTGTTATCCAGCGTGTCTGGGAATATGGCGTCCTGGAAGTTAACTCCATGAGGGAGGATGTTGTAGTTTTCATCCATTCTGTATAAAATACACACAAATGTTTGTTTGCATACTGCAGTCTACTTGTGAGGATGACTAATTGGCTTGTTACATGTAATATATGCGTCTTCAATTTGTTTTTAAGATAAAATAGGCACCCCAATGTCGAAATTAATTTTATTAACTTAAATATCATAAATAAAAGGGCATTTTAACAGTTAGTTTCAAGTAGGAATAACCTGCAGTTCAATATGTGAGTAGAATGATTCAATAACCGCCCTTAAATGGGTAGTTCATCCAAAGACGAATATTCTGTTATTAATTACCCATCTTCGTGTCGTTCCGTAAGACTTTCGTTTATATTCGGAACACAATATTTTTGATGAAATCTGAGAGCTTCGTTGACAGCAACGCAACTAGTGCTACCACTGACGCTTCAACAAGTTCGTAAAACTAACTAACCCATATGATTTGAATTATTTAGTCCAAATTTTACTTAAAGACACCGCTTTATATGATGAACATACTGAATTTAGTCTTTTATCCGCGTTGTTTGTGAGTCGATTAGTTTACGTGTCAATTACGCGTTGTTTACGTGTTAAAAGTCACGTGCTTTTGAGATTTCGGGGAAGCCTACACCATGAAAATTATTTCCACCAACTTAATTTTAGAATAAAAACTGGTTCTGTTTCCAAATAGAAGTGAACCCACCTAAGGAAGAATATGTAGGAGTTGTTTTCCATCACGGTGTGTGACTGACAGCTGAAGTACCCGAGTCCCGTGAGGTTGAGGCGCGAGCCCGCGGGCACCTCCAGCATGCTTCCCCACGCCTGGTCGCATAGCAACTCCACCTCCGCCGCGTACAGGAGCGCGTCCTCCGCGCGCTCGTGCCTCTGGTACGGCAGGTAATTGTACAGACTGGACGCGTACGGCTCCTCGTGGATGGCCAACACCTTGGCGTACACGATGATCTCGGCAAGTTCAGCCCGACAACCCTCGCTCAGGGGTCGCCACTCGCTGGGTAGCTGGCATGCAAACGCGAACCCGAAACCCAGCGTCAGCAGAAGCGCAAGGTGCATGCTTCCCGTGCCAGTAAATATACTCACGCGTAAAAAAAATGGCTAGTTCACGGGTTCAGTGGAATGCAGCGAAGGCACCCATGCAACGGCCCGGGGTCAGTTCACAGACATAGTTAATCCCGACCTGTTCAGACTGCTGAAGGTTCACAAGTAAGAGTTCCCACGTCCTGCTCCTCCTCGATCCATCATCACCCCTAAAGTTTGTCTCAGGCCAATCGGACGCGCTGGAGTTTAACCAGCCAATAGACGCGCTGCATCCTGCGTCCATCAGCCTCACTCACTGCTACATTCCTGGACAGAGGATTTGGACTCATTTTGTGTCTTTATACATCAGACATAGACAGATCACTGTCCACGAGAATACTTTAATCATCAAAACTGCTCTGAAGAAATGTACTGAGCCATTGCCTATTCAGTCATGAAAAGGTTTATTTTATTACATAACATGAGATTGTCTCTATTGTGTTGCCCTTTTAAAAGCATTTGAAACCATACCACTTTTATGATAATAATACATTTGATTTTCTATAGCGGGCTTTAAAATGTGCACCTCAATGCGCTTTACAAAAAAATAAAATAAAAATAAAAACAGAAATACAATACTATAAATTATGTGCATTCATAAAAGTGAATTTAGATACAAAAATAAAAAGTTATTAGTAATTAAAACAATTCAAGAAGTAAATAGTAGCCTATATAGAATAAGACATTTAGAAAGTAATCAAATAAAAGCTAGGCCTACCCTTAAAAGCTTTTATTTGTAGCATGTAAATATCACACAAAAAAAATATTTACATGATGTTATTTTTTTTTACTCATTTTGTTTTCCAGGTGACCAGCGTTTGCAACAAAAAAAAAGTAGCAATTATTCATATAAATAATGTCTTAATAACATTACCAGTTTATATCATGCTGATGATATCAGTGTTACAAAACTATAATTTTGAAAGATTAAAAGTACAAAAGGTAAACTTGAATTCAATGTTTGGCTGTATCTTTTTCTTTCTTTCTGGGCAATAATGATGGAGATTCCAGCTCCATTCTCCCCGTAATTATGAAGTTACCAGACTATTTTACTTGAGCCAAATTCACAATAGAAAGGTGGCACAGAAGCACTTCTGAAGTGGCAATTGTGTCTTCACAACCTGTTTAATGCTGCTCAGAGATGGCATAAATGCATTTACACAACATTTTAACTGCATATTGTTATAGGGGATGAGGTGTGTCCGAGCAGGCATCATCATTAGTCTTCCAGACAGCAAGCCTATTGATTTTCCATCTGAATCATCATTGTGGTTGATATTAAAATTTCAATGCATCTTCTTTCACAGAAGTTTAGCTGTATAAAGAGTCAAGACTCCTTTAGTTTTAAACGCATCTTTGTCTCAGTGGCTCCATCTGGTGCATCAACAAAGTCCTTGCATTACAGGGAACTCAACTTTAATAATTGATAATGTATGCAGCCAATTATCACCGCTGTTCTTATAACGTTTAATGCCAAACCTCATAAATAATAACATGCAGTATATGGAAGGAAAGAGGTTGTATATTCACCTACGACATTTCTTGTGATCGTGTAAATAGGAAAGTATGACCCTTATACTAGAATGATAATACGGGTGTCGAAAAGCCCCTCCGTTTGCCCCAGTTCGGAGTGCGTCACTGCGTCATGTGGGATGACCAGGGCAGGCGCAGGGAAATCCCGAAACGCGTCCTGACATCACCGTCAGCTGATTCCGTGCTGTGAATGCAGTGTAGAGTCTTATGGCAGTGGATAGACACTTACCTTAGAATAACTCTTACTGTATAGACCAGTCCTGCTGGATCACAGATCCGCGCGCTCATCGCTCTTCACTGACGTGCGCAACAGGAAACGAACGTTCTCAAAACAAGTCGGTGCAGACAAGAAGAGAACGCTTTGTGAGTATCGTATTGCTCTTAACTATATCGAGTTATTTAACGCTTGCCATTTAAAAAAGTTGTGTACTCATGAAACACATTAGAATGGAGATTGACGTGTTAGTTCATTTCTATTGCAAATGTCTTCGTTAACTTTCGCTTTCTCATGGCATTGCTATTGGGTGTCTTGTGAAACGTTTCGGGTGAGAACAGGCTGTCCAAACCAATGAGGAAACCAGTGTTTACCACTCATACATCATCTGTGTGTTCTTCACAAGTTAATATGTTCTCCCAGAAATGACTGTCATTATTCTCTACTCACACTCTTGTCATTTAAATCTCGTGTAAAGTCGCTTGAAGCCATAGGATAGCTTTGTGCAGGGTACAGAATTAAATTGAAACCATAGGCTACTGTCAACTCGAGAACCTTATCAGTTCGATTCGTCATCGAATAGTTCAAGATTACGTGATTTGGATTAATTGATAAGATTCGAATTTCCACTTGTATTTTGAACATACATACGCTTATGTGTGTTATATAAACTCTCTTTTAAATATACTTGTTTTAAAATATAAAATATAGTTTACTGCATATAAAATTACACTTTTTACTCATTAGATTTTATTTATAGTTTCTTTTTATAGTTATGCTAAGCATATATTCACCTAGAATTTTAGTCTGTTCAGTTTAAGTTTCACTTTTCATTCTGTGCTTGATGACTGCATATTTGAGTGTAAGCCATTCTTAAACTGAGTCATGCTGAGATATTTCTTAACACAGCACACTGTTGCTTAACAGACACCGAAAACATGGCATCTGGTTCATCTATGATGAACGGAGACATCAGTCACCCTCGCGGGTCCGGCCCGGGGAATGTGGGCAGTTTAGAGGAGACCCTCCAGCAAATGAACACCCTGATCAAAGAAAACAGAGAACTGAAGGGTGAGATATTAAAACCAACCCTCTTCCTGGACGCACACCACAACAGTATGTTGAATGCCTTCCTTGTGTTTGATTAGGAAGAGTTTGAAAATGTGTACTGTTGATGTGTCTCAGGAACAGGGTTGGGAAACTAATTTAAACGGCAGTGTCCCAGTCGTTTTACTTTCAGTCATAATCTCAGTATATAGATAGACACGCTCCATCACACACAACAATCCAACATCATTATGTGTATCAACAGAAGCCCTGAAACAGACCAACTTGTCCATGAAGGAGAGATTTGAGGGCCTATCGGCATGGAAGGAGACGCAAAAGGAGGAGAGAGACTTCCTGGAGAAACGATTGGAAGAGGCCAAAACCAAACTGAACACTATGGATGCAGAGAACGAGATGTTGAAGAAACGAGTGGAAGAGCTGGAAAAAAGTGGAGTCGAGGTGAGCGAAGCTAGAAGTATATAATCAATTACTGTATAAATAGACTAAAGTTAAATATCTGCCGTAGTGTTTAGACACTGAACTGGAGGCACTGAGGGCTCAGATTGGTCGACTTCAGGCTGAGAAGAATGATCTTGTAGCATTGAACTCTGAACTCCAGCTCAAAACGGGACAAGGTTCACCTAGAGACTCCTTCATTGAGATTAGAATAGCTGTAAGTATGCGCATACACACACAAACACAATGAAGAGACAACATGTTGCTCAATTTGTCACTCTTTGTACTTTCTTGCACAGGAGGACGATGATTTAAAAGTGACCAGAGATTTGCCCAGTACACAAAAGGACCTATCTGCTTTCTCCATGTAAGCATTGCGATTTAAAAGGCTTACTGTGATTTAGATTTAAATGCTCCTGATTCACCAAATTGTTTATTTTCTCATTTAGCTATAGTTTGTTTGCTAGAAAGAGAGTTAGATCCGACTACGCCTCTTTTGGGGACATTCAATCAAACTGGAAATTTGATTAATAAGGGTGTGTTCACACTTGTAGTTTGGTTCACTTGGTTAATTCGGTCCGGACCCCCCCAAAAAACATTTAGTCCTGGTTTGCTTTGCATTCATGTTTACATTTTAACATTGAACCTAAAGACACTGAACCTAAAGGCATAGGGATATGTTCACAACCCGATTGGTTGGCTTTTATTATGTATGTGTTGGTCTAAATGCGCTCGTTTTATGTGCAGTTGAGAACTCATGAAGAGCTTATAAAATGTGTAAAGGAGTCAAAACAGTGGCAGGAATCGCTCTATCACACACACACAAACAAAGATCTGCTACGAGGAGACAGTTCTGATGCCTGTACTGAACTGAGATGCTTAAAGCTCCACTGTGTAACTCTTTTAGTTTATTCTTAGCACAAAACACTTAGTTCTTTCAAAAATATATGTGCTCATTAATGTATATTTACTTCGTTCAAGTAATAAAGTATTCTCGTGAGTGTATAATATGCCATTGAAAATACATACGGGTGAGGGGTTCTAATGTCGGTCACCATGTTGCCCCTCCATCTTGAAAGTACATTAGCCAAAGAGGGACATACCCGTTAAATCAAGCTTCGCCTTTCGCGTTTACGTTTCGGTTAACACTGATGGACGAGGTCGAACTGGAAGCCATGTTAATCTTGAACTACACTGGCCACCGTAGGAGTTAAAACGAAATCGGAATTGAGAGGAACAGAAACTAATATTCACTGGATGGTCATATACTTTTTCACCACTAGATGGGAGTAAAATCACACAATGTAGCTTTAACATTGCGAAAATGACTAGAAAAATCTGTAATTTTTAGTTTTTTAGGTTCGGTTACATGTCTTTGGACCATGTAGAGGTCATATTTCAGTTGAACTGCGTTTGGAAGCAGACCCATATTTTCAGGAGTCTCGGTCCAATTGTTTAATGCGCACCAGGATTCAGATGGCAGCGTTTACTCTTATTCAAATGAACCGCACTAACAGGGCACTCACACAAGGATTCGTTTTAATCTAACCAAACATGCCAGGTGTCAACACGCACCCTAAGGTAAGAGGGCTGCTCATGGTTAGTCTGGAGTAATTTCTTGACAATAGAAGCCTATAGTAGGTCCTCATTTTGATAACCATGTGCGTACACAGGCAAAAGGGCGAGTCGGAAGAACAGACGGTCAGGCAGCTCCTTCACTCCCTCAGAGTAGAGACTGACGAGAAGGAGAGACTGCAGATAACTCTTCAGGAGGCACGTGCGAGGTCGGCCATCTTTTCACAAACCCTCTCAGAAACACAACTAAAGGTGTTTCTGGTCTTTTATTGTATGCGCATATGTGTGTATTTGCAGAATTGCAGAGTTGGAGAACAGACTGGAACACACTGACAGCAGCGCACAGACGTCTCTGCCCTGTACAACTGAAATCAATGTAGGAGAATCAGGTTTTTCAAGCATTTTTGAAGTAGTTCGATCAAAACATCCATCCAGTCTTGTCTGTGAATGTGAAACTCAAAGAAATTTGTTGCAACGACTTTGAGTTTACATTTTCATTGGAAGAAGGCAACCAATTTTGTGTATGTTTGTTTCTGACAGTCAAGCGCTGAGGTGAAGAATCTGGAGGAGCAGTTGTTGAAGCTCTGTAATGAACTGAAACAAGCTCAGATCAAACTAGACGATGCTGAGAACATGAAAAGAAACCTGCAGGACAGGTCAGACAACAGCCTTACATTCAAAGAAGTCGCTAATGCTCAACTAGGCTGCATTTATTTAATCAAAAACACAGTAAATCAGTTAATATTTTCAATATTAATTAAAATAATTTTCTATTTTAGTAGCAAAAAATGTCTATTTTTTCAGCATCATTATTCCAGTCTCAATGTCACTCGATTTTGTTCAAGAAACTTAATTTTAATACTTTCAAAGTTGAAAACAGTTGTTGTCTTCTTGTAACTTTAACCTGAAGCTGTACAAGATCTAAAGCTCTCCAATCTCCTGCTCTGTCTGCAGGTGTAAAGATTTGGAGCAGGATCTGGCCACCGTAAGGGCTCAGCTGGGAGAGAAACAGAAGACTCAGGCTGAGAACGACTGTCTGAAGGTTCAGATGGAAAGTCTTCAAGCTGCTATTAAACTGGAACAGAAGAAAACTCAGGATGAGAAGTGAGCGCAGCTTGTTACCTCCATCTAATGCCTACAGGAATGCAGTCGATCTAAATGTTTTCATGATAATCACGTCTCCTTTGGCCAGGAACAACCTAAACCAGCTGAAAGATGCCTACACTAAGCTGTTTGAAGACTACAATGAGCTCCAAGAGGAAAAGAAGAAGAAAGAGGTACAAAATGATGGAATCATCATTTTGGATTAAGTATTAAACTCACTCTTTTAGTACACGGGGTAGCTCCCATTATCTTACCTCATTGGGCATGTGTGTGTGATCAGGGTAGTGTATCACGGGAAGAGTACGATGACCTCCAAACCAGGTTTGCTACGGCTGAAAAGGCGCTGGCAGACAAACAGCTGAAGATTGATGAGATGAAGATGGAAATCTTCAAGAAGGAAAAGGAGCTAGAAACCATCTCTGTTTTCCAGGCTCAGGTACAACCGATTATATTGTCATGTCACGTCCTCTCACTTTTTTTTAAGCTCTTCGCAATCTGTATAATTTTTTTTTTTGTGTGTACACATACAGGCTGAGATATATTCGTCAGACTTCTACGCAGAACGAGCTGCTCGGGAGAAGATTCACGAGGAGAAAGAGCGTTTGGCCACTCAGCTGGAGTATGTGAAGAAACAGAACAGCCAACTTCAGGAGGAGATGGAATCACTCGGCAGGTACGTCATAAACTTAACTTACCCACTCACATGTAACCTCTGCGCCAACTTAAACAGAATTGTCTTCATGCTTCAGGCATTCCATGAGCGAGATGCAAAGGAGACACGTGCCACGTGGGGCCAATCCACAAGGCCCGACATCTCCACACAACCTGCAAGGAGGTAGAAGAAGTCCCTTACATTAAAGAGCCCATATTGTACACTTTCATGCGAGAGGACAATTTACATAGACCTCTTTCTTTCTCAGGTGATTGGCAGCAGCATGATATTCCAGACCATGCTTGTCCCAAATGTGGGGAAGTCCTACCTGACCTGGACTCCCTGCAGATCCACATCATGGATTGCATCATCTGAGTTTATTGCCTAATAACAATACCAGATCCCCCCCTATTATGTGAATGAGTGGTTTGATAGCTTTACCTTACATAATGCTTCAATAACACAGGTCTATAAACCCTGCATCCTAAATATACTGTACATTATCAGTGTGGATGTTTTCAGATCAATAGAAGTTACTAGTTGAGGGTGAGAATGAGCATTTAATCTGAATGTCTGGATATGGTCTAAATATGCCCTGTATAAACATTCTTTTAAGCTGCTTTGACAATTTATCATTCAACTATTAAGGAAATGTATATGTTGCAGGTGTGCAATAAGTGTGACATACAGGCTATTACACAAAAATCTGTTGTGGGCGAATTACTTTATTAATTGCATATATTCTTGTTTTGGATTAACTTTGAATGTTTCTGAGAGAATCGTTTATTTAAAAGACTTGAAGTCTCAAGTTGGTTAATTATATTTTCATTATATTCTCAATTCCCAACATTATACAGACAGATATCAACTTTTCTTTTCATTTTATTTCTTGGATCTGTTTAAATGTTAAAGCACTTTATCATGTAAATTAGTAAGATTTGGGGTCATTTTGAATATAACTGTCTGTCTATCAGTTAATACCTACCTAAGTCTAATAAATTGCTTTCTGAAGTTCAAAAAGATATATATTTTCTTCGTCACATGCGCTCTAGGCCTAGATGTTATTTTGTGTAAACGTTAGCCCTGCAGTACGATGCATAATCTCATGCTTGAAATGCATATTAAAGGACTAGTTCATCCAAAAATGATATTTTTCTGTCATTTACTCACCTTCATGTGCATATCCTGGTTACTTACCGTGAAAGACAAAAGGACATTTTGAAGTATGTAACGGTCACTCTTCTTGTCGATGTAAGTTAATGGTGTCCGTGATACAGAGTAATTACTTAATTAATTACTTAGTAGTAAACATTGTAATAACATGTAACAAAATGTAATTAACATGTAACTAAGTTATGGAACAGCCTGTACTTACAGATTGTAATTACACTCATGTAATAGGCAGCTACTGTTACGCGTGTAACAGGCCGAGTCGGTTACATATGTGTTACCGACTTGGTACAATCTAACAAGTACTTAATATGTTACTAAGGTAAAAAGCCTGTAGTTACGCATGGTCATTTTGTACCTTCTAAAATTGTGTATCAAGTACTTAAGTGCACTTCATGAGTGTCTACATACCTTATGAATTACCTCATCTGAATTAACACTAGTTCACAGCTTAAATACATGCAGTAGCTTCTTAATTACATTCAATTTACATAATATTACACAGGTATAAGCTACGTAAAATAAAGTGTATCAAGATTGTATTTAAGTGTACTACATGTGTATCACCTTACATACCTTATTCATATGTACTTTAGTTTGAATTAAGTCAAACTCCCTCGTTCACAGCATAAATACAAGCGGTAGCATCCTAATTACATTGCAATTAAATAATATTACACAGGGATAAGCTACGTAGAATAAAGTGTATCAAGATTGTACTTAAGTGTACTTCATGTGTATCTACATACCTTATACACATGAAGTACACTTAAGTACAATCTTGATACACTATTTTAGAAGGTACAAAATGACCATGTGGAACTGCAGGCTTTTTTCACACCTTAGTAACATATTCAAATACTTGTTTTTACATTGAGTAGTACAACGTATTTTTTTATATAATTGCATTGTACCAAGTATGTAACCAATCAGTTCCATAAATTCATTACATGTTAATTACATTTTGTTACATGTTATTACATCGTCTACTACTAAGTAATTAGTTAAGTAATTACTCTGTATCACGGACACCGTAAAATAAAGTGTTACCCTATAGGGTACTATTTATATACAGTATGGCTTCAGAATAGGCTACTTTAAATATAGTAGCCTAATACTGTCAAATTTTTGTGGTGTTTTTTTTTTCCTTTTTTTGGAGCAGACAATCAGTCTCATTCATGAATAGACAATTTTTAGGTCAATTTTCCAAATGACTTAAAAGTTGACTATTCGTGACCCTAAAAGAGGTTTTTTTCTCTCTTTAGGAGAATTCAACAGATAGGCCAAGTAGTTAGTAGTTGGCTCATTATTTAAGGCTGCAGTTAGATATAGGCCTACACACTACCCAAATATAGCCTATTCAGTCAGTCACACACACACGAGCAATAAAAACAGTTCAATTTTTATTATCAGTCTCAAAGTATAGCTTTACAAACTGCTGATTTAGAACAGGTTTATTTAACTTCTAAATGAAAAACCAGGGTTCCTCCGTAACAACGACAAGACATTTCGAAAACCCCATATTTCAAATAAGTGTAACACGTGCACAAGTGATCATCATAATACGGGTCGCTGTCCCACACCTCCAGTGTCAGCTTTTCACCATATTTGCAGTATGGGAAGTTGAACTCTGCATACCATGTAGGATAAGCGGTATCTAGGCGATATTGTGTCTGCCCCCCAAAAATAGAACCACACAAGACCTTGATGTATGCATCTTGTTCGTTTCCAGGGTGTTCACTATTGAGGCGGCTGGCACTTATGCTATATACCCGAGCAGCAGCACTGGCAGAGTCCAGCTGAGACGCCAGCACCAGCACAGCCAGAGACACCAGCCGAAGACCATTAAAGACCGCCATATCTGTCAGAAACAATACAGGTTCAATTATAGAGAAGGTTTAATACACACAAATATCGAAATGCGGAAATAATGTCTAAATGTAGTGGTAAATATGCCTTACCTTGCTTGAATCAAGTGCCGAGTGTTTGTTTTCTGATCTTAGCCCCCTTTATAATGCAATGACCAGGGGAGTAATTTACGGGTAGGCTACCAATACAAATAAATAAAATATCTCCAGTTAACTTGCAGAGCATGCATTTAGTTCGTTTGTTAAATAAGAGGTGATCTAGCACATTGAAATTTGTCTTTGATATCAAGTGATCAAAGTGCTTGTTGACTCTTTGATCAGTGGTGCAGATAATGTTCTCTTGTGACTCGCGCACAGCGACCGCACAGTCTTCACACGGACGCGCACCTTAATCCGTTTCGGAGACTCTCTATTCGTTCCAATGAAATCACAAAAAAAAGCACTCAAATGTGTCCCTGCTAAATATACAACCACTGATAAACATAATCAGTTTTAATAAGGAAAAAAAAACGATACGAGTGCGGATTAGAATCCAGAACCTCTGACGCGCTTGGCAAAAGTTCTGCCGCTTGACCAATAAAAGTATAAGTGGCTTAAGTGGCTTTTAACAAACTTTACAGGAGAGACAAAACAAAACTTTGACCACCTGTATTATTAACCTTAAACCACAAACATTGCAACCACAGGCATACTTACATGAACGAGTATTTAAAGGTCCCCTGACATGAAATTGTCACTTTCTGAGTTTTTTTTAACATCAACATTAGTTCCCCTAGCCTGTATTTGGTCCCCTCGGGTCTAGAATTTTCAATCGGTGTAAACCGAGCTTTGGTTATTTTTCTCTTCTCTGAAGCTCAGACGCGCTGATCTTGAATCTCCTCGTTATAGAGCATCACAGTCCCGCCCACAGCCCGAGAGAGCGCTGGTGCCGGAAGTAAATTTCCCATTCATTTCTCCCATTGACATTTTGTAAAATCCATATCTAAAGAGTATTAGAGCATGTCTGAGGATAATCAGCTACCGCTGAACTCATAAGCATACAATACATCATTTCAAGTGAAAAAACGAAGATAAAATCCAAAAAAAGTCGAGGGTACAAGCCTGTGTACACATTTTCATTTCCGAGCAAAGGAACTACTCCTCCCATAAACCACCGCGCCTCAGTGAAGTCGTCTGAAAGCCACCGTGAAAGAGCCTTTTGAGCGACTTCCAAATCTGACGACGGGCACATTAACTTTTTCTCCAGTGAATTTTATATAGTGAATGTGCAGGGAAACTCCTTTTCCTCGATTTACTGAAACAAACGCATTTGCAGCTCAACATGCAAAAACATTGAGTATCTGGCTCGCTCATTAGCTAAGCTGTGGCAACTGCACATCCAATGGCGCGCGGGCGTCTCAGAAGTGCGACCAATGAACTTAGTCCTACATCATTACGCGATTTTCAGTCTTCACGTACCTTCGCGGGGTTTCAGACACGTGACACGACTTCCACCAATCAGATGCATCACTGTTGGATTGTGGGATTGTTCAGGATTGTGGGTAATGAAGTACTTATCCAATACTTCGCGAATAAAAGGCATTTATCTTAAAACAATGTTAGTGCCCCATGAACTTTGGGCGTTTATTTGAGCATATACAATCGCTTAGTACAGCAGTAGCTGGTTTTAAGTCTACCATGTATGGTTACGTTTTTATGGCTTATATCTCAAATGTCAATGGAGAAATTGTATTGAATTTTTACTTCCGGCACTGGCTGTGGGCGGGACTGTGATGCTCTATTACGTCATAACGAGGAAAGGTTACCTCCCCTTTCTCTGCTTTGCCCGCCCATAAGAAAACGAGCTAGGAACAGGAAGTACGAACATGCAGGCGCGATTTGAGTTTTTCCTCGAGTACAAATGAACACAAACGTATTTTTTTGTTCCTTCATCCGAGCCTCTGAAGAAACAATGAATGGGTTAATTTTATTTTCTCTGGAAATGCGCCAACACAACTTCCCAAAGTTTTGCATGGTCCAAACATTTCAACCGACGACTTTTTCCTCAACTTGGGCCAATACAGAACTGGCCTCGATGAACGTCTGAAAATAAATCGATCGAGCTACCCAGCAACAATTTCTGATGTGTTGCCTAATTGTTCAGACAGGTAATCTTTCTCCCAAAATCACTCAATACTGTTTATGCATAAGTCAAGCCAGTGACTAAAATATCAACTTCACATCATTTCTTTTAGTAGGATGAAATTAATCTTATTTAAATTGTGATCAAATTATACAGAAAGCGATCAAAGAACAATCTTCACACAGCACAAGTTTATCTGGACAACTCGTTATGAAACTGCACAACGAAGCTCTTACTGTATGTACATCATCATGAGGGCTTATCACCTGCTTGCTCAATGCTCATCACAGCAACATTTTATGTGATGGGAATAGATCGAAATACTTCAAAAACTTCTCACGATTCAGTAATCTCAATAGCTGTAATTGTAAAAACCTATAATTGTTGTAGTAAAAGTAAAAGAGTTTCACATGTAATATGTAGCTATTCGGTTGTTAAGTCTGACGTCACACGTGACGTTTAGCCTCTTCCGGGTCCAAGCGCTCCGCTCGTCCATATCTTAACGTTACAACCCATAACGTTAGAGTAAGCCCTTTTCTTAAAGGACTGGCTTCGCTTCAGCGCCAGTGGGTGTTAGGGATAAAGGAAAGAATTGTAACTTACCTTATCAACTGCAGCCATTTTCTCTTTTCTTTCTCGTCACAGGGAAAGCGGTAGAATGACAGTTGAATGTCACTTGTTTTTTTTTTTAACTCCGATCTATTTAAACAACATGGGACACAGCACTGCGGCATGTTAAAACTCGGGCAAAAGCGGTAAGCAGATAGAGAGGACCCAGCATTTGGACCCGGAAACAGTATTATCAGAGTGTGATTACGTCACGACTTAACAACCGAATTTCATATGCAAGCATGTCAGCCAATCACAGCAGTGGGCGCCGCGGTTACACTGAATCCCACAGCAGACACGCCCCGACAGAGCGTTCAAATCAGAGGCTATAATCAGGTTACAAAAATGCCTTTTATTACTAAATTATGACTATTTT